ATTAATGAATATGCAAATTAAGTAAGCAAGTGTAGATTATGAGTCACAGAGATGAGAGATTATAATGATGCAGTGCGCTTGTTCTCTTCCTAAAAATCAAGCCCTAGTTTTAGAGAAGCCAAGATGCCAAATTGAGATATATATATAGCATAATTACAGATATAGCTAGGTTACCTAAGGTTTTGGAATTACAGATATGAACAATAGAGAGAGATATAAGTGTAAGAATAGATTTTCGGCATCATCGGACCTTCAATTCCCAAACACAACCATATGAGTTAACAGATCCAATCAAACATCAAGAAAATTATACTTCATTTCGTTTCCAAGAAAATGTATAAACAGAAAATAGACAAAAAGGAGGGGGGACAAAAAAAAAAAAAAAAAAAAAAAAAACCTTAAAATCCAAAGTTCCTTTAAAACTCTACTAATCCAAGCTTAATCAAGGTGTTATTATCCAGCTCTAGTACCTCAAGGCAATAAAAAAATAAGATCGTAATATTGCTTTTCGTTTTCCTCAAGTTTCTCCGCAATCAGACAAGATCCGCTACTTGGAACAATGAAAAATTAAACACAGATCGAACAAGAAATTTTCGCCTGTCATTGAATAGATAGATTGTGAAGGGCATTGGTTAGCAGTGAAGGGCATTGGTTAGCAGTTGACTGTCGAGCTCGATGTGTAGTCATGGTGATAAAATTCAGGGCAAAACAAAGAAGCTTAATAGAAAATAGAGAGAGATTCTGAATAACTCTTCTGATTTGAGAGAGAGAGAGAGGTAGAGGGAGAGAGAGAGAGAGGGTGGCTTATAATGATGTGAGAGCCACACTATCTAGAAAGATAAACTTAATAAATTGCAGAACAAATGGATTGGGGCTTCGTTACTTGGTGAGCCTGTAATAAGCAAACCGTAGTTGTTCAGCAGACTAAAGAATCTTGAAAGCCAATGTGACATAGCCTTATATTTTGTCAGCATTTTGAAGAGCTCAGTTAGCAGTGGAACATTTTCTCTGTCTTCCAAAGCTGGAAGTACCAAAGATGGGAAGAAAAGAAAATTAAGATATGAGACCAACTCACAACACAAGTAATTTTTTTTGATAAGTAAAATGTATTAGAAAGCGTTCAAAAGGGGAACGCGTCCCGAGATATACCACAACACAAGTATATATGTGTAAACCACATAAGATTAAAAAAAAAAAAAAAAACTAAACATGCAAATATACAATTAATTAGCAACACACTTTTGGAATTTCCAAAAAAGAAAAGAGCATAAGAGATGAAAGTCGACACAAATTTAATTCTCGCAATGGGGAATTTGACCTTGAAATGCATAACAAAGTTCAATAATAACAAAAGAGTTAACAACCATACTAGCCAGTAGCCACAGATGGCTGTGACCACCAGAACATACCTAGACAGTGGAAATACATTTTCCATATATTTTACGCGCCCCTCACTCCTAAGAACATCTCTTGCATGTACAACTACAGCAATAGCCAGTGCTATTGAGCAGCCAGAGAGGAAACCGGCAGAATGACAACAGTTAAAGGGTGTTTATATTGAATAATTGTTGAAAAGCATAAAGTATTTATTCTATAAATACAAAACAATACAATTAAAATTTCAGAATTTCAGCAACATATAAAACTAAAACATTTATACATTTACAGTGCTCTAAGAGCCAGTTATATAGTACTCCTATCCAATAAAGGGTAATCTCAAAAAGAAATTAAACAACAACCTAAGCATTCTGAGAAGTTGAAGTTCCTGAGCATTCTTCCTTGTTAACTTTTCACAGTCTGCAATAATATGTCTAGTATTCTTGCAATGAAAAGAAGACTCGTTAACTTTCTCAGTTTTTCCAAATTCTAAGGTTTCTAATGGGTCATCATATTTTTCTTCTCCAAAAACTTTAATTGCTAGAATCTGTAATATCTATATATTCAGTACAACATCTCCACACCTTCGGTAATAATTAAGTACATGTTGGTGCCACTATGATATTGAAGCTCTAGGCAAAGTAACAACAACAGATGCACCAATAATTCAACATGCGCAGACATGGTGCCCAACTAGTAAGTGGCTGAACTTTTAGCAGATAGAATGTCCAGATGGGCAAAAAAATCTGAAATTGAAAAAAATGAAGTAGGAGAAGCAATTAAAAGAAAAAAGCCACCAGGCCCACCACACATTTATATGATGCTTCCCTTGATATATATTGATAAAGTAGGAGAACTAGACTTGAGTCCTTTATTACATGAGCAAATAGTAAGTGGCTGATCTTTTAGCAAAAAAATCTGATATTGAAAATATATATATATATATATATAGTAGAAGCAATTAAAAGAAAGAAACCACATGTGAATATGAATCTATGCTGCTGCTCTTGATATATATTGATAAAGTAGGAGAACTAGACTGAGTCCATTATTACATGAACTGGGAGCCGTGCTTTCTTTCTGTGGGCATGTAGTGTTTTAAAGCAAAACACCATGATTAATTCCAAAAGGCTGGAGTAAAATTGAAATGTTAAACTAAATGCAGTTGATAATATGTAAAAAGAAACAAAGTGGCTTAGACAAATCTTTTTTGTCTATAACCTCATATTGTACTAAAATATTTTTCCTTCTTTACACACTCTGAAACATAACATGACCAAGACAATACAGGCAAAGAAAACAATGCAAATGAAATATCTGCATCTGAAAGCAGAAAAGGAACAGAAAATGGTGAATTGTACACGCATAAGTGCCTTGATTTAAATGCAAATTATATATGTACACCATGGAGTCGGAAACAATGTTTTTCATTCATAGAATCTGCAGGCTATATATCATTAGTAAAAGAAAACTGATTCCGCTCCAATAAAAATGTGAAACACTAGCATACTAGTGACAATTTATACATATCAGAACTACACAAAATTTATATTTACAGGGAAAAAAACTACACAAAATCTATGAAAAGTTGCACACTTATCGTGATGTGTATAATCCATCTCTCACTTCACAGCAAATCTCCATTCCCCTCATTCTCTCTCCAAGCGATGCGATCCGCAGTAACAGCCATGGCTGCTCACACCATCCCCTCCTCCGACCCATTTCACTCTCTTCTTCTATTTCCCCTCTCAAACCCTAACCCTAACAACCCACCCTCCTCCGCTCTTCATTCGACGGCCTCTCCCCCGAACGCACCACCAAATCCCTCACCCTTTCCTCCGCCGCCGCCACTAAGAATGCAATGCTGTCCTTAAGTAGAAGGTTTTAGAAAACCAAGTAGTTTCCGATCGGTTTTGTTATTGACTATGTGACGCGACAGCTATAGAGAGCAATTACAGTGAATCAATGTCCGAAATGGGATGGGTGATCGGTAATGCGGATTTCAGCAAGAATGGCAAACCTATCAAAGAATCGACCCACCAAAGCACTAATAAAATATTAGCAACAAGAAATTGAGTTTGCTGGTGTATATATACATTTATATAGTTATATATATATAGTTATAGTCATCTGTATTTATATATGTATGGAAAATGGAGGTGGAGGAGATGCACAGAGAGGAACTCTAAGGGCGGTTAAACGCTCTTACTTTCCGGTTTTTTTACTGTCAAATCCTAAAAATGTGAAGTAAAAATGAAAATTATGTTTACTAATATAATTTTAATCTTTTAGAAAGTACTTTAAAGAATGAATATGTGATTTCACCTCTGTGCATAGGAATTACTTTCCTTATGGCCCGTTTATTAATGTTTTTATTTTCTTATTTTTACTTTTTAGAAAAGTAAAATTATGATTTTGATTTCTTTGAGATGTAGCAGAAAGTAAAATTATATTTAGTAAACTGTTGTCTACTTTTGAAATTTGAAAGTAAAACACAGAAATGTGTTTAGTAAACTGTTATCTATTTTTGAAATTTGAAAACAAAACACAGAAAGTGTGTTTATTAGTAAAAAATAATAAATTTTTATTTTTGTTTTTGGTTCTTGAATTGCTTTTGGTTCTGATTTTGGTTTTCTTTTATGAGATTCCATTTTCTTTTCTTTTTTTAATAAAGAAACGTATAATGAATAAAACGGAAATTAACATTAGCCTACATGAAATATAAATAGAGCATGGACAAAATTTCAAGTCATAATTTAATAGTTCTTACAGATTGCATGGGTAGGGATCCCAACTGCACCTGCCTGGCTTCCAACACAAATGTTCATTAAGATACTGTCAAAATTTTCAGCTTGTTCTCATGGGTAGCTCACTATTATGACTTTATTTCTACAGTTGAAATTGCCAAATTTCTTTTTTAGAAAACCAAGACTTGAAACAGAGTCATTTTGAGGTACCTATTGTTTGCTTACTTCTTGTGTTTGCCTGCAATCTAATAGGCTCAATTATGAGAGAATGTAAATTATATGCTCCTTCGGCAGAATTTTAAGATCAGATGATGCAGTTATATTTAGAAGAAGAAAAAATAACTATCTTAGAGGATTCTTTGGTTCGTCATCAAATGGCTACTTTTTCTGTTTTTTTTAAAAATATATGCGATTTTTGTATATCTGTCAAAATATAACGCGATTTGTTTGGAGATGATGCTAATAATGTATTCTTCTGCATCTTCTACCACTGTTTATAAAGTGCATTAGATCTGCCATATATGAGAAAAATGCATTATTCTTCAGCAAAAAGAGATCAAATGTATATATGTATATACTGAAGTGTAAACTTCTACAAAAACTAATGGGAAATTGGGAATATATTGGTTATCAATCTAATCTAAATGCATCCCAAATTGGTAGCCTACAAAAACATAATGACTCTGAGACTTGAGCAACAAAATCCAAATCAAATGTGAACCCTTCAAGATCACTCTTTAACAGATGCCTGGATAAAGCATTGAGAAGGAAAATCGGAGAAGGATAAATATATTGAACTTCACAGGAAATTTTATGTCCGATTTATAAGACGAGAAATTTGGAGTCAGCATACACATAATATCAAAAGGATGCAGATTATAACATGAATTCAAATGGCATTTAGATACAAAATTAATCTTAATAAAAGTGACAATATTGCAATATCCAAATAGAAAATTAATCCAAAGTGACAATATTACAATATCCAAGTTGAAAAATATAAAAATAATCCTAATAAAAGTTATAATATTATAATGAGCAAATAGAAGTGATTCATCTATCACGATAGTTGTTCCACAACTCATGAATTAGCTCCTGTGTAACATTTACTCTCTGAGAAGTACCACCTAGCTCCACTTCTTCTTCTTCTTCTTCTTCTTGAAGATTGGCATTCTCATCCCCATATTCATCAAAAAGACGATCTAAACGGGTTTCGTTACGAACAAAATTATGTAATGTGCAACAAGCAATAACGATGAGTGCTTGTACACTCAGTTTGTAGGAGGCATCAACTTAAGGATCGGCTAACACATTTTTAATACACCAAAACAACGTTCTATCACATTTCTCAGTACAACAATTAACACACCTCTACAACTTATTAGATCCGAATAAAATAACCTAGCATTGAACATATAATATTGTAAAATAATATAAGGAACAAAATATCTATATTACAGTAACTAAACACAATAATGATGCTGTTTGGTTATGTGCTTGCCTCACCATTCAAGTTTAGAATGACTGTTCAAATATAAGAAAATCTGAAATTTATCCATGTTTTACCAAATTGCCAGCATAAGATTGATGAAGATGGTATATGTTATTTTATATGCTTAATTTCAGACCTTTTTAACTTAGTTCTACACTTGTTAGTGAAGCATCCACTCAAATAAAGATTAGACCCAATCATGGGTAGTATGGATACTTGGAGCTAACATACTGTCATCAAGATGGAAGAACGTCTAGGCTTCTGTTCCTAATGTAGACTTCAATTTCGACTTGAATAGAAGGATGAATAAATTATCCACCTTCAAAAATCAGAAGAAATAGTAAATTATTCACTCATTTTGCACACTTACTTTTAAAACTCTTCATGGTAAAATTTAGATGTTAATATGAATTAAATATTTAGATGATTGAAGGTCTAGGTTTAGCTATATTAACCAACAAATTGTCTCAAAATTACTATATATAAGCTGTCAAACTTGCAAAAGCAAGCTTTTCATTATGTTATAAACCATACTGCCTTTATATATGGACAAAATGAACATGTGATGAAACACTAGTTCCTGTAGAAATCAACATTACATAATAGATAGCAAAACCCATCTCACATAGTTATATTTTGAGAAGCAAACAACCTTGATTTTATTTTCATTTACTCCCAAAAGAAGATATAATGATTGTCAAATGTGGAAAGTTCTTTGTTAAAACTACTCATCATCACAGATTTAGAGTAAATCAATACAAGTATAGGTGTCTTTCGACCTTGAATAGCTATAAAGCATGGATGGAAAAAAGGAACAGAGTCGCAAAAAGGAAAATGTTGTCTATAAATTTCAAGCAATTTCATTATTACCCAAATCAGAATAAATCCTGAACATGAATTAAAACTAAAAAAAGAGCTTTAAAAAGTAGCAGATGAAGCCATTATTTGTAAAATAAATTCTAGAATAACAAATTAACAATACAGCCTTGCAAGCATGAACCTTTTACTTCAATTCGAACATGAAGCACAATCAAATAATCAAAATTAACCATATATAAGACATATGTGCAATAAAAGAACAGAAAATGAAACGAACTTTAAATACCTTAGAAGTACTAGTTGGAGCAGAACTCAAGTACGAATTTGTTCTTGAAAAATCTACATTGGAAAGAAAATTGAAGTTTAAGAACTCCGTTGTAGAAGGTGAAACCCTAGAATTTCCATGGAAATGGACACGGATACCAAATGGGTACTGTGCAGATGATGTACCCATCAAGAAAAGAGATAACCCAATTCACCAGAACCAATCAATTCCAAGAAAAAGCAAGCTTTTAGAGACGACATACACCAGAACCAATCAATTCGAAGAAAAAGCAAGCTTTTAGAGACGACACTTACAGTTGAAGAATTGGAAGACCCAAATTGAAACCCAGAAGACTATGAAATCAAGGTCACTGAGAAAACAAATTTCGTTGTTGTTCACTGAATCAGAATTCGGAAAGCAAATGGTACTGAAGACAAAAAGAGCATAACTGGATAGAAGTGATTACATAGGGACTGGGTATTGGACCGAGTATAGATGAAATTGAGGCCCATATTGATGCAACTATTACAAAAAATAAAATAAAATAAATCCAAAATCAGAACTTCTCATAGAAATTACACAAAGAAAAAAAGATATTTCACTCATAAAAATGATTCAGGAAGAGAAATTATAGATTCTAGGACAAAATCTTCATATACCAGGAGAGAGAGAATTTGAGAAGAAAGAGAATCTGAGAAGAGAGGGCGAACTTACCCGTAGTGTTGTTGGTCGGCCGTTGAGTCTCCGTTGCCAATCGATGCTTGCAGATGAAGGATGACGATCACCTGATATTGATGCTCGCAGATGAGGGATGACGATCACCTGATAGAACTTTCTTGAAGAGGCGAGAAGCTAGGGCTGGGATGTTGCAGATGATGATAAAACAAGAGGACGGGTTTTAGGTTTTACTTACTTTTGCTACCATGTTTAACGCTACAGTGTCGAAATTACTTCCTTCGCACAGTACAGGAAGTAGAAAAATTTAGGAATTACTTCCTCAAAATAAAAAAATGAAAGTAATTTAATAAATGTGATTTTACTTTTCAGAATTGAAAGTAGAAAGTAGGAAATAATTCCTGTTACTAAATAACTTTACTGTAGCACTATTTATCCGAATCACAAAAAAATAAAAATTCGAAACCGCAAACCCTTGTTGCCTCGTTCGTTTTCTTTGCTGTAGATCCGGCGACCACCATCCCTGTCGCACCACCACCACCACCGTCCCTTTAGTCGACATTTGGTAATGAACGGGGACAGTAGTAGGGGCGTGGCACCAAATCTAATCCCTCTGCTACTATAACAGTTGGCCCCAAATAACCCTTTCTAATTCTTGTTTAAATTCTTGCTTGCACAGTCATGCTCAAAAAGCAAAAGAAAGTGGTGCGCGGCGCAGAGCTCTATATTTACAGCAGAAATCGGGGATTGGTCAGCCTATTCTATGGATCAAGATTCTGATTTAAGCCGCATGGCTTCGAAACCGCTACCCTTGTCTGAGCCCAGTTCTCGTTGTGAAAGCTTGATTTATAAGCCCTGATACCTTTCTTCGATTCTGGTTCAGTCCCGTCCATCCATTGCCTCTGCAGCAGCCGGTCATCAATCCTCTGACCAGTAGTAACACCAACAACAATGGGACAGATATAGATATATACATACACCATATACTTGAAAAAAATGTCTGACTTCTTTCCTACCCAAATCCATCTCACCTTTTCTCACAAGCCCACCTTCAATTCCTTCAACCACTTCACCAATGTCTCTTTGTGGCAAATTATCAAGACGCCATGGAAGGTAAGCCACAGATGGCGTTTTTTAGAGAGAGAAAAATGACCACGAAAGTAAAATTATAATTATAATCACTAAACTTACTTTCTATTTTTTTCCTTTCGAAATATTGAAAATAAAAATAATTATTGAACACGTTTTTAATTTTTATTTCACTGTAAGAAATTAAAATCATAATTTTATTTTTAGAGAAAGTAAAAATAAAAAAGTAAAAGCGTAATAACTGGGCCCTAAATGGGTTCAAACTTGGGGATTGGACCCGTTTAGAAATGGATTTGATCCACATTTTAAGTTTTTTAATATTTTTTTGCATCTCGAAAAATATTTTCTTAAAATATATACATATATATTTTTATTTTTAGGTATTTGACAAAAAATTTGGTCGAGGTTGAGATCAAGTCCATCGGGTAAAACGTGTAAAATAGTTTGTCAAAATTTAATAAATAAATTATTTTTATTAGATTTTAAATATTTTTCAAAAATTATTTAATTCTTGTAATTGAATTTAAGTATTGAAGTATATTAACAAGGGAGATGGTATTCGTACTCCACTTTTCTAAGTTTCCACTACAATCTTAAATAAAATGACTATTATAACATTAACTTTACAAATAAATGATTATTACTTTTTAAATGACATAATTGTCTTTTCAAATTTTCTTTTTTTTATCTCTAATCTTTGATATTTTAGGTATCTTTTGGCAAAATGAAAAAAAAAAAAAAAAAGTAATCATTAAAATAATTATCTCTTTTGTCAAGATCAAAAAAATAAATACCGAAAAAAGAGGATTAATATATATATATATATATTGAATAAATTATCTTTTTGATAATACCATTAATATATATATATATATATATATATATATTTTCTATAGAATAAATTATTTCTTTTGATGGGACCATAAAAAATAAAAATAAAAATAAAAAATTACCTTTTTTGATAGGACTAAAAGAAAAAAAAAAAAAAAAAAAAATCAACTTTGTTGAATAAATTATTTGTTTTGATTACACCAAAAAAAAGTCGCGAATAAATTATCTCTTTTGACTGTAGAAAATAAATTATCATTATAGAATAAATTATCTTTTTTTAGAGGACCTTCGAAAATTAGGGATGCCAATTTTTACCGCCCCGCCCCTTTAATAACGGATATGGAAACACTTTTTATAACGTTGGGGTGGGCATTGATACAAATTTTGTACCCGTCGTGGGTCACGGGGCTGGTAAGGGTTCAATATACATATCCTAGGGGCCCCGCTCCGCCCCGCTAAGCATATAACTATATTTAATATATATATATATATAATATTAATAACTTATTTTAGCGGCTTACCCAGTTACCCATCTCTTACAATCCTAATTTGGAATGTAAACTTGGTATTAAATTTACTTTTGTTTTGGTTATGGTGAAAGTTGGAGTTTAGAACTTCTTGTGATTTGGTTGTATTAAACTTTTATTTTTGTTTATTATGTTATCTGAATTACATTATGTGCATGTTATTTTTTTATTTTTGTTTGGAAAGATATTCATTTATGTTGTGCCATTTCCATGCTTTCCACATTTATATAGTAGGAACTTAAGTTCCAAAAGGTGAAAGAAAAAAATTTGTTAGCGGGACGGGCACGTGGACACAGTATTTTCCAACGAGGCGGGGCTGAACATGAAAATCCAACCCGTCACGGGTCTCGGGCGCAGGCATGAACTTGACAAAAATTAAAAGAGGCGGGGCGGGGCGGGGCGAGATTTAGGGAAACCCGCTCCAAACCCGCCCTGTTGCCATCCCTACCGAAAATAAAGTGCAGCAGAGGGAAAAAAATAATAATAAAGGAACTAAAGAAGGGAAAAATTAAGTGGTATAAAGAGTAGTTATGGTATTATAAAATAAGGCATAGCAGGGGCGGAACCATGTGTGGGCTAACCTAGGCTATATCCCAGGTTAAAAAAAAAAAAAAAAAAAATGGGAATTACTATTTTCTATCAGCCATAATCCAACCCAAGTTGTCCAATTCATAATAAAACATAAACGATAAATAGAGTCCCAATTAGTCATAACCCAACCCCAAGTTGTCCAATTCATAATAAAACATACAAGATAAATAGAGTCCAGGCCAAAAGCTGAGCCCAAACAAGGCCAAACCCATTAGGCTAGACCAACCATTATAGACCAACACATGGATGAATTGTAACTTGAAACAAAGACATACTCTGGGAACCTATTTCTAGATTCCTCTAAATGTAAAGATATTGTAGCCCATTTGTCTCCTTCCTAATTCGTTCTCTTTAACAAACACTTATCAGTGAACCAAAAAATTGTTTTAAGTTTCTTTCATTTTGCTTTTGATTCTTATGGGTTTAGATTCAGTGTTCGATCTTATTGTGTTTTCATTCATTTGCTTATTGGTTCAGAACTAGATGATGCGGATCTTGCTTTTGATTCGGTTAATTGATTTGAAGCTTCTAGTTTTGTTTAATGACACAAAAAATAGGCATATATCTTGAGATAGTCATTTCACTGGTGAATTTGAATACGGTGTCCGAGTCTGCTCTTAGCAGACATTTGATTTATTGATACATGTCTATTGTACCTAATTCGAATTCATCAGTGCAGACTCGGACACCGTATTGATTCTGGTCTTTTACATCAAACCTGAGTCATTAACTGAAATTAGTTGTACTTAGGAATTTTTCATATGCTGCCTCGATTTACCGTTATTTAAATGTTCATCGTTATTGTTATTGTTATCATTATCATCCCCCACCCACTTTAAGATCCTAGCTCCGCCCTTGAGGTATAGTGTATTAGTGAATTGAAAGTCCTTCTTATCATTTTATTTAAAAGAAAAAGATAAGTGTAGTGCAATTGGAGAAAAGTAGAGTGCAAATATTTCCTCCTATTAACAAAGTGCTTCTTATTATGAAATTACACAAGTTTTAAAAAATTATAATTGACAAGATTACATTTTAATTTTATATTACTGATTTTTCGTGATGTGAATCCTGCTAAAGTGAGCAGTGAAATTTCGTGACATATATTATAAAACAACAAAATATGTTATTTTTACTTATCTATTGAACAGTTTTTTCATACTTTAGCTTACTTTATCACATGATTTGTTTTAGACAAAGAACATAGTTCACAAGTACCAAGTTATGGGGAAAAAATAAAAAATCACCCCTACCTCAAATTTGTATAAAAACTCTAAAAATGACATAACACAAATCCGGACAAGTTAAACTGAAATACATAAATTTTTTATTTTTTATCTTTTTCCTCCTAACTAGTGTTATCTCATATTTTTTTTTTTTCATTGTACCAAACATAACTTAAATGAATCATAAATTTATCGAAAGCCATCCCTTTTAAGGCCAAATTTAGTGTTAGGAGTGACAATTCGTGTTAACGTATGTATGGACATGGGTACCAAGTTATGGGGAAAAAATAAAAAATTTAATATATCTTTGAACTCAGAACAAATTATCATTTTAGTCTTTTGAACTAAAAACATAAAGAAACATATATTGTATTCCGTATTATTTGTTAATATTGTTTGTTTATTTATTTGTCATGATCAGCTTAACTAAGTAAAGCTGGGAAAGGTGAAAATTTGATCTAGCCTACTTATATACACAAAAATAAATAAATAAATAAGAATGATATCAAGTCTTACAAGGGAGATAAGTATAATCACATAGCAAGCAACATTTGTTAGACCTAAGAAACACAAACACAAATATAAATATAAAATACGAGTATGTTACGGATATGAAGGTACAATAAGTCTCAAAATATAATAAGACATAAATATTACTTTAAAAATTAATAATACAATATATATTATTATATATATATTTGCTATTTTATCCATTTAATCATAAATAAATCAATAATTTAGATTTTTGAGCTAGTTGTTTTATTTTTGTTTTCTTAAATTTTATATAATTTTTTTTAATTAACCCATAATATTTTTTTAGATCGTATTGAATTCTATTTTTCTAAAACTTAATAATCATTACAAAACCATTCTATCATATTTTTTAAAATGTCCAAAACGTATGTATAATTATCGTGTTCAAATCGTGTCTAACTAAAACATAAAATTTTTGTTATCCAATATACATTCAACATGTGTCCGAGCTGGACGCACATATTAGGTAAGTCTCTCTTACCCGCGTCATCTTGAAAAAAGTATATGTGTTTTTACATTATACTATTATTGGACTCACTTCATACGGAACAGAGCAACAATAGCAAGTGATGTTTAAAATTTGTTACAAAATTTTGGCAACAAAGAAAAATCATAAATATTTCTAAAATATGGCTAATATGTACATAAAATCTAGCAATATTTAGCAGAGTATCTCGGGGAGGGAACATATGATTGAAACAGTAACCATTGTATTTCATGTTTTTCAGCCACTTGAAAAAAAAATTCACATAATTTGCAATTAAAGAGTATATAGGCATATTTACAGAAAATATTGAATAACATATTTGTGTTTTTGTGTTTAGATGGTGATGGTTTAGAGGTCATGAATTGATAAGTAATGTATCTTGACAAACATTGCATAAGTGGGTTTTGCATTGTTTATTATTATTATTATTATTATTATTATTAATCAGTAACCTTTTTAATTATTTTTTGAACAATATTTGGATCAATGAATATTACTGTAAAATATTATATAAAAATCTACAATTTACCAAAAATAAATAAATTAAAAACTAATAATATATCTACAAAGGTAAGGATTTTCGACCGTAATGTATTTGTGGTAAACTCTAGAGGGAATCTTGGAGAGAATCTTTATCCAATTTTGCTTAGTAGGGCTAAAACCAGCATCCGTACAAGAGGCCCTTGATAGCAGCATTTGTAAAGATGTTGACCATCTACTCATAACGACCCTAGTCTCCAAAACTTGAGCTTCACCATCCCATTGGCCTCTCTCTCTCGCTTCTCTCTCTCACATCTTCTTCTCCAAACTCTCTCTCTCTCACACACACACACACACAAACAAAGCCCAGAAATGGTAGCAAGGCCATTCCATGATACGATACTGATCGGAAGGAGATATTATGGAATTGTGTGCCAAAATAAAGGAAGCATCATTTCAAAGGGTATATGGTTGAACCAGAACCCTTTGGAATATGCTACACCTCTTCTGTTGTTGCAGCTCTCTATGATATCCATAACCTCGAAGCTCATCGATCTCTGTCTCAAGCCTCTTGGACAATCCACTATAGTCTCACAAATCATCGTAAGAATTATTCTTCTCCTCTTCTTAGTTACTATCTAGCATATATGACTTCATGCCAATATGTCTATGCAGAAGTAATTAAATAAATTAAGCAAGAGTATAAAATGAAAATTTTGTTGAAACTGCATTGATATATGCAGTATATATATGGTTTTGCATGATCTTCACAATGGCTTGGTTTTGCATATATTTACTAGAAATGTTACCCTAGCCGGGGCTGGCGAATTCATAAAATAACAATTATATGTTCACTAAATTAAGCAATCGCTAAAAATATGTGCAAAATTTAACAAGTGTGGTTGTGGTCACGTTCGTATACACAAGGGAGAACGAAATCCAATCTACAAAGGTGAAAAGGAAATATTTTTTGCAGACCCTAAAAAATGGCTAATTCAGACCTGTACTTGGTCTGCATGCTGAATTTATATACATTATATATATAGATACACACATACATACATCCACTTTGTTCTAATTGGAACTTGAACCCTCAACCTTCTCGTGTAGGAGATACTACTCAACCTAGCTAAAACACAGTAATGTGTATGTATATCCTAGTAACTTTATTTGCTTTTTGACAACTTTAACTCAAGAAGATGATAAAGATCAGTTCAGGGGCAGGTCGTTGTACCAACTTATATGGGAAACTTAAGTAGTCCAATTTGCAATTCAACAGCAGGAACAATATGTAATTAATTAAGGGGAATATATGTATGTACATAGAAAAGAAATGCAGATTGTGATGTAGAGCGCTCGTTGTCATTTTAATTTTACTATCATCTGCATCAGATTGTTGAATTAATTTCAAGAAATGCCAACATTCAACTATTTCCATGACACAACTAATAATTTAAACTCTTTTTTTTTTTTTTTTTTAATTAAAGTGTAAGCTTACTAATAATTTAAACTTACCTTCCAGGGTGGTATAATATTTGGCCCTTCAGTTCTTAGTCATGACTATCTCATGGGACGTGGGATGTTCCCTCCAAGAGGCGCCATGATATTCCACACTTTTGCAACATTTGGCCTTGTTTTCTTCCTTTTCACAGTAGGACTGAAGACGGATTCGAAGATGATGGTACGGCCAGGGCGCAAGGCCATAACAATTGGCATCACCGCTATGTTCTCCACCTTTGTGCTCACAGCTTCACTATCCCTCATCTTAAAGAAGTATATCTCCATGGATGCTAGCCTTGCAAAAGTACTTCCACTACTAGCAGCATCACAGAGTCTAACACCATTTCTGAACATCGCTTGCCTACTAGATGAACTCAAGATCCTCAACACTGATCTAGGCCGCCTAGCCATCTCTTCGGCTATGTTTTGCGATGTCCTTGGTATTTCCATGACAATACTTAGTTTCTCATTACTGCAAACTACAAGGGGCCATACACTAACTGCAGTGTTGTCAATTTTATCATCGGCTGCACTTGTGGTTTTCATCGTGTATGTAATCAGGCCAATATTACTAAACATTGTAAAACGTATCCCAGCAGGGAAACCTGTAGGAGAGATGTATGTTGTGTTCATTTTAATGAGTGTTCTTGTAGCCACCTTGTTTAGCGAGACCATCGGCCAACATTTCGTGTTGGGACCGTTAGCTTTAGGACTGGTTGTGCCGGCTGGGCCACCTTTAGGAGCAGCCTTAGCATCAAAACTAGATACACTTGTTTCAGGCTTGCTCTATCCAACTTACCTCACAGACAGTGGGCTGAAAACAAATATCTTCAGAATCAATCTTCAATCTCTGTGGATTGTAGGGTTTATTGTTCTCTTTGCTAGCTTAGTTAAGATTGGAGCAGTAATGCTGATAGCGCACTACAACAAAATCCACTTTCGAGAAGCTCTTGTTCTTGGACTCATGTTGAATGCAAGAGGCGTTTGTGAGCTCATTGTGTACAACTTGTGGAGGGGTAGTGAGGTGTGTTTTTTTTTTCCTAGTTAGGACTCACACACACTGCCTCCACTGAGGTTCAAACCCCTGACCTTCCTTTGGAAAACAGAGGTCTTGTACCACTAGGCCACGGGCCTGTTGGTGGGGTAGTGAGGTGTGGAACGCCAGTATTTGTTCTCTCTTTTGTCCAGTTTCTATCATTCTTAATCCTAAAATAATCTGATCGATTTTGTGATGACAGATTCTGACTCAACAAGAGTTCACTCTCGCTGTTCTATCGGTGATTGCAGTGACGGCGATCATAACACCACTAATAAAAGCCCTCTATGATCCATCTAAACAACACATCCCAATCCAGAGAAGAACCATACAACATGCCAAACGTGAAGCAGAGCTGCGGATATTGGTGTGTATTCATAACCAGGATAATGTCCCTTCAATAATAAACCTGCTAGAAGCCTCCAATGCAACTGAAAAGAGTCCCATTGCAGTCATAGCAGTCCTCCTTGTCGAGCTTGTTGGCCGCACTACGCCCATCCTCATACCACACCAACCACAACAAACCCTAGAGAAGAGTGATCCCAAATCCTACCACATCATCAACGCCTTGCAACACTATGAGTTCTACAATGAAGGCTGCGCAACTGTTCAATCACTCAGTTGCATCTCACGTTACAACAGAATGCATGATGACATTTGCCGGGTTGCACTCGACGAAAATGCCAACATTGTGATCATTACATTTCATAAGAATTGGGCTATCGACGGTACCATCGATTCAGTGAACCGTTCCATCCGAGCTATGAACCTCAATGTCCTCAACAGAGCACCATGCTCTGTCGGAATCTTCATAGACCGGGGAGTTCTACGCGGCTCATTGTCCATTATAAGCAGTCAATCAATATACAACGTGCTAGTGATCTACATAGGCGGAGCAGATGACGGAGAGGCACTGTCCTACAGTGCTCGCATGGCAAAACACGAGAATGTTACTGTAACAGTCATGCGTTTCCTCCTATTCGGAAGTGACAGCGCCAGAGAACGGAAGCTGGACAATGATTTGATCGATGAAGTCTGCTATGCTAACATAGGAAATAAAGGATTCTTATATCGAGAGGAAGTTGTGAGAGATGGAGTAGGGCTAGCTTCATCTATTACAGGATTTGAAAATGGTTATGACCTGTTTATAGTTGGGAGGAGCCATCAGGAGTCCCCTATTCTGTCGGGACTCGATGCATGGAGTGAGTGCACTGAACTTGGTGTTATCGGAGATATGCTTGCCTCAACGGATTTTGGGAGCACATCGTCGGTCTTGGTAGTACAACAACAAAGATGCGGAGGGAAGTTGATAAATCATCCCACAAAACAGGTGGTTGGTGTTAATGATATAGATCCACTCCTTAATAGCAAGCGACGCCATGGTTCATCAGCAAGATCCACGGGATAACACAGCATATATGGAGTACTTCCCTCCATTGAATTTATAGTGATTAGGTTTAGTGATATGCCAACTTCTCTCCTGTTTTCCAGTTTAAGTTCAATACAATCGATTCAGCAACTCAAGGATTTTTGTCAAGGCAACCTCATCATGCTCCAAATCTTATGCATGCCCATACCCCATTGCCACTAGAGTAAACTTGCAAAATCAAAAAGAATGTCTGAGAAAAAAAAAACGTAAAATTCTTTTTATTTTGAGTCAATAAAGATATGGATAGGAGAATTTTAACACATACTTTTCAAGAAACTCATAAAAGCTAATCACAATCAGAAGTTCTTTTTGGTGCCAAATGTACATAGTATCTTCCACTTATAACTTGCAACTACAGACTGATATATCAGATAATTTCATATGTTGATTTTTTCTTTTTCTTTTTTTGTTTCAACTAACGAAAAATTTACTTCGCTGAGCTCATCATAGCATGTAGAGGGGTAGTAAGCCAATGCAAAGTCACCCATCCCCGGTCAAAACAGGTACCTATTTAACTGTGTTGCTTAGAATTAGAAGATAGCAAGGAACAAATTAGAAATCAGTTAACTTACTTACCCAAAAAAATATATATATAGAAATCAGTTTCAATATTTTTATTATTATTATTATTTTTTGGTAAAAGAAAATTGTGTTATGAACTAGTGAACAAAACAAAATGTTCAGATGGAGGGCCAGAGACCTAACCTAGAGGCACCAAACAAAGCTGGGAACCAGAAACAAAGGCACAAAAGAAGCCTAAGGAGAAGAGCTCGCAAAAGCCGAACAAAAACAGAACAGTCAGCTAAAGGACGTCAGCCTGCACTTTCTTTTATTCAACAGAGACTTAAATAGAATATCGTTTGATATTTGTTTGAATTTTGATGCATCTAGGATATATTGAAACATAAATTGAATCAAAAAAATAGAATATATATTTCAAGGACAGAACAAGTCATTTTGCTTAAGACAATGTTTGCTCCATAATTATATATTTATGGCATATGCTGGGCCAAGGCAAATCCACCTCCACGATAGAATGAATGCACCAATAAAAAAGGGTTAGAAAAACTCTTACAATATATTTGGAAGCATCGAGTCCACGTGACCAAACATAATATTACAATTACAACTCTACTGCATTTAAATTTTTAGACGGGTTACTCAGGAAAAATTTACTAACACTACATTCTATTTGTTTTTATCAAAAGAATGTTTTCATATATTTCATTTACAAGTACAAATAGTTTCACACAAAATTCACAAAAAATTATAAGCTCTGAAGTCAAAATTATTGTCATACACTTATACCCAAAATTTTTTTCCCTTAAACTTCATATAAATAAATAAAAGTAAAATTAAGAAATTGAAATATAATGGCCAAGTGTCAAAAATCAAAATTCACATCGTCTCATATTTACAACCGACACTTCATTTTTCCTTTTCCTTTTCCCTTTCCTTTTCCTTCTCCTTATTAGTTATGTTTTTATTGGCTGATAAGCATCGATGGATAAGATAATGGTTGTTAGAATAAAAGGCTCAGTTTTATGTGGGTCACACGGTCCAAAAATACGGGCTAGTCAATGAGACATCATGTCTGGTTCATCTTCTTCTACCTCCTCATCAAGATTCCTAAAGATAGGTATGGTAGGATTTGGCAACTTTGGTCAGTTCCTGGCAAACACCATGATCAAACAAGGTCACACTATAACGGCGACTTCTCAATCCGATTACTCTCAGCTGTGTGCCCAATTGGGTATCTTATTCTTCGGGTATATAGATAAGAATACATGTTTGCAATTTTTTTGTTTCCTGAGTTTATAGATATTAATATTATATACTACTATCCTGTATAATACATGTTTATGCATTGGCAGGGACATGGAGGCATTTCTTGGAGAGGACAACGATGTCATATTGTTATGTACATCAATTGTATCTCTATCAAAGGTCCTCAAGTCAATGCCATTCCACTGTCTGAAGCGGCCAACATTCTTTGTCGATGTACTTTCAGTCAAAGAACACCCAAGAGATGTTCTATTGCAAGTATAGTTTTATACCTAGTTGATTTCTGTTTTGTTTATTGCGTATGATGAAGTGTGTTAATTTATGTATCTATACCACTATGCCCTTGTTTTCTTAAGGTACTGCCGGAGGAGTCAGATGTGCTTTGCACTCACCCGATGTTTGGACCAGAGAGTGGGAAGAATGGGTGGAAAGACTTGAGGTTCATGTATGATAGAGTTCGAATAAAGGACGAAACTATATGTTCAAGTTTTCTCCAAATTTTCGAAAGAGAGGTAAACATTATTATGAGCAGATACATTTTGTTTTGAATAGACAGTGATATCTATATGTATATATAAGTTCATCACAAAGTCAAGTATTGAACTGTCCTAAAGCTAATCCATTCCAATGGAACAGGTTTAATAGCGAACCATTAGAATCAACCATAATTGTATATCTATCTCCACCACTCGTTGTCAATCAATGGCCAAAATTGATGTGACCAACCTCCACTTGTAACAAGATTCACATTTCTCATTAATTTTGTGTCTTACATGTTGCAAAGTCACTGCCTAAAGTGCTGGCTATAAAATATATTTCAATTATCAGTTCAAAAAATGGTTTGGTGAAAAATTATTAGTTCTATATTCTCTAACATCAAATGTTAGAATGGTGCACTAGAAATGACTTGTTGTCTCTTCCTATTGAAACAAGAACCTACTTGATCAGTCTGAATTGGAAATACAACTCTTCTTGTGACACAGATGAACATGTAAGAACTTTGTCTTATTTGCAATCTGTTACAGGGTTGCAAAATGCTGGAAATGACTTGTGAAGAGCACGATAAACAGGCCTCTAAAAGTCAATTTCTTAGTCATGTAATCGGCAGGTATTACAACTTATGCCTCCCTAATCCGTATGAAACAACTACTGCAAATGTCAGTTGACCTGATTTTTTTTAACTTTGCTGTTGCACAGGGCATTGGCAGAAATGGACATCAAGTCCACATCTATAGACACCAAGAACTTTCAGACACTTGTTCAATTGGTATATTCAAATTTCTACTGTGTTTCTTTTAGTTAGGTAGCTTCTATAGACTACTGCATCTAGAACTGGCAGCATTTCTCTCAATATACATGTTTCATCTGATTGCTGAGAAGAGAAAGGAACAGATTGAACATATCCAAACCTTCTTTTCTTTTCCTCATCTCCTAAATATCAATACATGAAGCATACTAACCTAGGATTATTTGCAGAAAGAAAACATAATGAGAAATAGTTTTGATCTGTTTAGCGGGTTATTCAGCCATAATAAGTTCGCGAAACAAGAGGTACAAAATTGCTTCTTCTGCTCCTCAAATTATTTCTTTAATGAAATAACGCTGCACATTTTTATGCATAATTTTTTCAAGAGACTGAAGGTTGGAATGATTAAACCATGATACAGCTGGAGAATCTAGAACTTGCCTTAGGGAAAGTTAAACAAGCGCTGCTACAGAGCATGAATGAGGAGCAGGATTAAGTTTGTCTAACCACTAATGAGGGCCTTTGCGGACATAAATGTTGTAATCATTTTGACTCGTGTCTCTATTTTCTATGGTTATCAAATTGTTATGGATACATTCATTACTAGTGAGGAAAACATGATATGAGCTAAACATCCATTGTACTTACTTCGTATGCTGTCTTTATATGACAAACACATGGTTTTTAGAATAATTCTAACTAATAACTAATGGATCCATCAACTTTAGATTTTCAGCACTCTAGTAACTTAAAAGTAGTATTTGAAACAAACCTGGAACAAGAGTTTTAAGCCTTCATAAATAATCGCATATCTTGTTTGGGTATGGTATGAAGTGCTCCTATCTAGAAGGGTTGGATATTTGAAGCCTTTAACTGGAGATGGGGGCAATTTAGTTCTTTTGATCAATTATTCCAATAGTTTTGAACAATTCAAGCATGACAGTAAGAGAAATAGTTTGTACAGAAAAAAATTTACTACTTCCTTGGGGACTGTTTGGAGAATTAGAAATCAGAATATGTATAATCCAGCTCCTTGCAATGCTGCTCATTGTGCTTGAGTGATTATGTGGGAGGTTATGACATTATGTGCTCAATGTTTTGCTATGAGTTTCTGTTCTTTCTGTATGGGTGGGGTTGGAAGCTAATCTGCCAATCAGGGAGCCTTCTGCTATTAGCTTATGCTCTGATTCAACTGTTACCTATTTATAGGCGGATTGTCTTTGCTTGATGGTGGTTAATGTTGTTTCTTGTGGCTGGTTTTTGGAAATGGGATTGGTCTATCCCTTTGTATTTTGAGTGTCTGCCCTCTGTATTTTTTGTATATTTTTCTTGTTGAATAAAAGCTCATTTGGGGGGGGGGGGGGGGGGGGGGGGGGGAAGGTAATCAAAGCATAAATTCATCCACTGTGCATAACAAAATTAATGAATATCCTACAAGGATCACAACGGTAAAGAAACGATATATTATCCCCTGCATTGGACATGTAGGCCAAATAGCCATTTGAATCACAGGTACATTATTCAACACCAGAAATATATATACAAGATCAACACAAAGTGGCTCAAATCCTAACCGTTAAAAGTTCTCTCAAAATTCTTGTTTAATTTTGTTTTCTACTTCTTTTAGGATGGAATTTGCTTTTCTATTTTCTATTAGAAAAAGAAATTTATTCCCTGTCCAATAAGAAACAAGGTTTTTAGGACTCTAACGTTAATTTATTGGTTGAGACTTGGGGGAGAGATATAATTATGTTCCGAGGGTTTTATGGTAGCTTGGAGATAGGTCAGGTAGAGATGTTAACACCTAGCCTCCTAGGAGTAGAGAAACTAGGTTTATCTTAGGGCTCAATTTTGTGCTTTGATGTACTTTGAACCTTTAGTTCCTCCATGGTTATAGTGATTTCTTCTGTCATTCTAGACATCAAGAGGTTCCAAATAAAACATTGAATATTATCTTTATCACAAGTGCTTATTTATGTTCTTATTAATGATTCTATCTCAATACTAATGTGTTCCAAACAAACTGTATGAGAACTTGGTACCCATCGTGGTATCAAAACTAGGCTTGCTAAGTCTTATAAGTTGCGATTACATACATTTTAGTTGCAAGTAGAGTCAAATGGAACTTGTGAACAAGTCAAATGACATTTGATCATGAAGATTGACGTGTGACATGAAGGAGAATTATACAACTGCAGTAGTAAAAGCGATCATTGGCCTGATGAAAATTTGAATTAGAGTGGAGATTGTCGGGAATTTTGTCTTAAATCATTGTTTGATTCGACTCCTATTATATAGAATTTTCTTTTTTATGGAAATTTCTTACAGCGTATCAGTTCAAATTCATCCATTATTAATTATGCTAGTGACAGTATGCAGTAAAATTTTCACCTCATTGATTCTTGATGGCTTCTTGTGCAGCATGATTTGGTCAGTCTGGATTCATAAAATTAAGGACCAGCTTTCAAAAACCCACAGATACCTTTGGCTTGAACAATCCTCAGGACCTAGATGAAACATAGTATGAGAATATAGTAAGTTTTCTGAAATTACTATAGACTCCTGCTTAAGCTGCAAATTAAGAGACAAACAATTCAGAAAAAAGGGACATATTAAACATGATGCTTTTGGTCATCAAAGAGATGTGCCTTAAAATTGAACTATAGAATCCCCAAAAAGTCTATGACTGTGAGATTCAGATGTAGATGAAAGTGAAAAGTTAAGGATAAAATTTTCATTTCTGTTGCATTTGTGTTATAGCATTTCTTCTCAAAAGGTTTCTGGATTTGTGACAAAAATCCAAAAGCAAATGACTCAGAGAGGGAAGCCAAAAAAAAAAATTCTAGCATGGAACACAGACTGTAGTGGAATAAGAATGAGCAATCAGCACTGTCAATTGGCTGCATCAAACGATCAATAAATTTTTTTAAAAATAAAAATGGCGGTATTAAAATCAAATGCAAAATGTTCTCCACCTAGCATGTTTGACATTCTAAAGCTCGGAAAAAATTACAATTTTCTACACGAGTCGATAGTAGAATGGGCTTTTCATTGTGTTTGAGTGGCATCATTTTGACAGAAGGGAAGTTGCCATAAGGGATGCTAATATGATAACCTCAGGGGATTAACATATGTATTCACATGTGCACAAGCATTTCTTTCAAACTATCCATATCCTTAATTTTTGCCTCTGAAATAAATAAATAAACTTTGGGGAAAAAAAAAAATAGAACTTGCAGTTGAATTTATCTCAAACAAACAATGCGAATTTGTTCTGTTAGGACAAACCTTCAAATAGCTTCCAAGCATCGAAAAGAGGAGCATTGAACGACCGTGATTGAAGAGTGTAGCAATGGTCATCTATCCCTACTTGGACCTAGTTGTGTAATGTAATTCAAATTAGAGGTGTATAACATCATAAGTTGTTTATAAAGCTTTTGAATATAAACATTTATTTCATGCAAAAAAACTAGCCAAATGCAATTAAATTTACTGATTGTAGTTCAACACCATAATGCCCGACTCTGGAGCCCTATATTGCAATCTGTATTTGCAGAATCCAATTTGAACACAATTTAAGAAGCAATTCATATAAAATGCAATCGTCCACAAATTGCTCTACATTCTCATGTGCAACAACACAAAGATTACACACACCCTCAATCAAGGACATTAGAGGCCTTGCACGGGTACCATAGGGCAAAACTTCGAACGCCCCGATTATTGACTAATAAAACAAACTTAGATTAATAAAATTCTCACACAAGCTTCATAACAAATTAATCTCTCAAGCCATTGCATAATTTGAATCGAAGTAGTCTACTACGATCATCAAGTTCACTAAAACATCAACTGGTGAGTACTAAGTACTAATGCACTATAACAGAACAAGAAATGATCTGTGTCACAAATCATCGAACGACGTGCTATGTATAATAATTTTCATATATAAATAGCAGTAGGATGTGATGAGAAAACTGACCGTTGGGCTTCCACACACCTTCTTATCTTCAAAGTCGCCGGAGGTTTCGCCGTCAATGGCAGCGACGGAATTGGCGATTTGGCGGTGCCGCACTTTCCCGCTCATTTTCATTCGATGGAGGAAACACGCGTCGATGGCCGCCAACAAAGGGTATCATCTTTACTGTTTATAGTACTGTATAATTTTAAGATAAGATGAGTTAAAGAAGTAAACAAAATTAAATTTTAAAAAATAAATATTACACTTATTTTCCCTATAAATGCTTAAATAATAAGATATATGGAATGATTTATACACTCGTTATACTTTTATTAATTTAACAAACAGACAAAATAATATTTTTAAATTTTTTTGAACATAGGTGTGATTATCCTTAAAAAAAACATACTCGTATCACCCCAATAAAGGAATCTAATTGACAATATTTATTTTAATTTTTTCAATTGAGATAATGGAGTCCAAAGAAGCTACACTACGCTGGTATTGAATAGCAATGGAATAATTAATAATAGGGTAAAGTGCAAAAAAAAAAAACTCAACTGAATTATTAATTTTTTTACAACTAATTCTCCTAAACTAAAGATTACTCTCCTAAACTATTAATTTGTTGCAATTAAGATAAATTCATCACAAAAGACCATTTTACCCTTTGTTATTAAATTTGTCATTTCTTATTAAATTATTTTTTATTATATTTTTTCTTATTTAAATATTAATTATACCATTTATCTTAATTTTATAATTAGTATCAATTGATTATAAAAATGAAAAAAATAAAATAAATTTGTAACTATCATTTTTTAAAATGATTAACTTATTATAATAAAACTTATTATACTCACTTTAAAAAAAAATTAGTATAAAAAAATATCTTCTTTTTAAAACAATATTCATGAAAATTAATAAGTTATGTAAATAAAAAATATATTCGTTTTAATGCAATATATTCATGAAAATTAAGAAATTGCTTAAATTGTTTCAAAATTTTCTATTTAAGATTTTTATTTAAATAATTAATTAAAAAAATTAAAGACAAACTTATGTAAATTTAATGGAGAATATTTCATCAAATTAGTATGAATTTTTTACATATTATTTTAACAAGAAAAATATATCAAGTGTAATTCAATAAGAAAAGGTATTATGGTCATTTAGAAAATTTTATACATAAAACATAGTTTGGAGGAGTTATTTGTAAATTTAGACATAATTGAAGTTTTTTTTGTTTTTTTTTGGCACTTTCCGCTTTAAGAATATTCTCCATTGGGAGAAGTTTGTTTTTAACACGTCTTTGCCACAATGGAATAAGTTTATTCTGCAGTACTACTTCTTGGGAAAAGTTTGTTTTGAACACGCTAATGCACACAAACTGAAAGTTGACTTTACCCGCCAATTTAAGAAAAATGTCTAAACTTCTAACAAACATGTAAAACTGAGAAATTCTATCCAAATTAAGATAACCACGCGTTTTACATTGGATGCTATAATAAGTGTACAAATTTCTAACAAACAAGTGAGAAACTTCTAGCAAGTAAGTGAGGAATTCTATTGAAAAAGAGATGGAACACTCGGTTTCACCCTTAGATGTCCTTTTAACTACCAATTTGAAAAATTGTACAAAATTTTGTTTAGTTGATAATTTTTTAATATTGTTTTATGAAAATTAAGTTAAAAAAAATATATATATATCTTTTATAAATAATCTAAAAACAGTTTTTAATTTTCTAAATTTTTTGGTAACTTTTTAATAATTGTAAAAGTCAATTATCGCTAGCATTTCTCGAATTTATAAATTAAATGGTTAGGCAAAGGCAATAAAGATCCTTCCTATTAAATTGATCATGCCTCGAATGTAGAACACTGAAAATTCTCCCGTGGTGAATTGTTTATTTGATATGAACATTTTGTAATGAAAACCTTTAAAAAAAAAAAAAAAAATCATAATGAGTATTTGATACTATTATTATTCTTTCCCCTAATGTTATTATTAACGTCTAAATTTGACAAAAAATAATAATAATAATAATAATTTTCAAAAGTTTATGGTTAATGGCAACGTTGCGAAAGAGACTATGATGAGGATAATTTTTGTTTTTTTTTTTTGCCAAAGCCAAAAATGCTTACCATGTCATGCATGACTTATCCATCTTTATTGTAAAACTGATAAATAATCAGGTGTGAAATTGAAGCCAAATTTCTAAGAATTGTGGATGCAAAATTAAGCTAATTTTACTTACGAAAAAAATAAAAGAAAAAAGAAGAAGCTTATTTTGAATATGAATATAATAACCACTTGTGTGAATTGTTGATGTGAATGATTAAATTTAAGCCATAAACGGCAATGCCATATTGCCATTTGTTACACAACCAAAGATAACATAAATAAATGCCGTACATTTAGAATGCAATACACATTTAAATTTGTTTTATTTTGTTTTGTTTTGTATAACCTCTTACTTAAATATGCATTTTTTTTTTCTTTTCAAGTCGTATAAAAGTAATTTTTAATATGAAAATTCATCAAGAACGACAGGAAAGGTAATTAATGAAAGTATTATTAATCAATATAACAGTCTTATTTTTATTATTTTGTTAAAAAAATATATCTCTAACCTTTTATAATTTTCAAAGCTGACATTAGTGACTTTCCAATCGGTTTTGAACTGAAAAGTTCACTTTCCATAGTGTTCTAATTTGTTCACGGACTCAACAAACCATAATAAATGCATATGTGCCTTTATTTAGAGAAAGTTTTAAATAGGGAAAATTACATATAAATGGAGTCAAAGTTTCATATTTACTTAAAGGCTGAGTCAAAGTTCCATATTTCTCTAAAATGGATTGCTGAGGTGGCACATGGTTTTTTACAGTTTAGAAATTGTGGTGCCTAAAATACCCTTCCACGAAGGTACTACTTTTTCTTCGAATGTACTACTTTTTTGAACTGAAGGTACTACTTTTTGGCGTCCAGGTACCATGTTTTTTAAACACCCGCGAAGGTACTACTTTTTCTCCGAATGTACTACTTTTTTGAACTAAAGGTACTACTTTTTTGTACTGAAGGTACTACTTTTTTGTTAAGGAAGGGCATTTTAGGCATTACAATTTTCTAAACAGTAAAAAACCATGTGCCACCTCAGCAATCCATTTTAGAGAAATATGGAACTTTGACTCAGTCTCTAAGTAAATATGGAACTTTGACTCCATGTATATGTAATTTTCCCTTTTAAATAAGTAGGAGGTAGCGGTGATATTATTCAATTTATTAAATATTATTATTATATAATAATAAGATTCACTAAAATAAAATAACAAATTGTAGTTGCTTGGATATATGGATTAGTGTTAGGGTACCAGTATACAGACTTGAACTATCTACATTTACTAATTTAACATATAACATTATTGTCTTTAAAAAATAAAAATAAAAATATTTTTACTTATGTGACATGAATCACGTGATACAATTAGTTGATAGACACATATAAAGAAGTGGTAAAATACATATATTTATTTGAATTTTGAAGCCATATGTGTGCCATAAATTTCATCGTTATAAATTTGAAATTGAATTCTAATTTTATGAAATTTGCAAATTTTAATTCCGGCAAACGAACACAACTTTATTCTACTTCTTGAAAAGTGTAAAACCCACACTCAACCATTTGAGCCGTTTGAAGGCAAATTAAATTATCGGCATTGAATCATTTGAATTCAGATTACCCAAAAAACCATTCGAATTCAATTATTCAAAATTTGAAAGACTATTCTTCTCCCTTTTTCCTATTCTAGGAAATTTTGAAAGAGTACATACTACATAATTACTTAAGCTGTGTTGCATTGAAAAAACAAAATAAATAAAGAAATTAAAAAAATGAGAGGAGGAAAAACAAAAGGAGAAATAGATACTCCTCAACAAAAATGAGAGGAGTAAATTGTGTACCAATGAATTGTCTAATTTACCCTTAATGTTACCATAAATAGAAAAAGCGTGGAAAAGCCAAAAGAGAAATAAATAAATGTACAGAGTACTCGCTGAAAGAAGACAATCTGAACGGAGGGCAACACGGTCATTTCACATATGCCCATTACCTTACTACCACCACCCCCATATTGCTACGTTCATGAGTGTTTTGGGGCTACCGCTTGGGCTGTCATCTCCCTCTGAACTCCTCATTCTCAGAGGATCAGAGCCCTAAAATAACTGTGTACAGTAATTTTTCTCTCTCTTCTTTAAATTCAGCTTCATACTATGACAGCCCTTCTCTCTCTCTATATAGTATAGTGTATATATATACACTGTAGAAGCTCTTCTCTTTCCGTTGTGAAGTTGTACTCAGTGGATCGTGCGATCACCGGTCGCAAATCGGAAAAAGTATTTTCACATCTCTCACTTTTTCCATTTCAGTCTACGAATTTCTTCAAATGCTCATATGATTTTGATTCAAATGTATCATTATTTAGTGAGAAATGGTTGATTTTTTGTGAGCATTGATGATTGTTGCTCTTTAGAGATGCCATCGGCATTTCATCAGAAGTGTGTGTAATATTTATGGAGTAAAGTAGCGTAGAGTTCTTATGCTTTTCTTCATCACCAATATCATCTCCCTTTCTTATATATATGTGTCTGTGTGTGTGTCTGTTTGTATGTCTCTCTGTGTATATTTTATATACGAGTATATAAACAGTATCATTTTAATTTTTTATTCTTTTCGGTTGAGTGAGGTCCGATATGATCGGATTGTTAATTGTGGATCATTAATTAATTTCTTGAGGCCAAATTGCACCACTGTTTGCATCAATTTTGTAGGTCACAATGAGCCTAACTTTCATTAACAAGCTGTTTAATATAATGAGGAAAAACAGTGTTATGGAACTTTTAATACCAAAACTACCCCCATCGATTTGGGTGTACTTCTTCAAATGGTCAATTCATAAGTACTCTGGTTATTCTCCATGTGAAACCCCTCTTCCAGCATGTTCTTCCTTGGAAACTTCTTCCTCTGCCTCTTTAATTTGAATTGATCCATCTCTGATTCTCTGCTATATATTTTGAATTTTACTCTAGTTTTCTTGGTTGTGTGCCTTTGAATTTGATTGAATGGTTTTTGAAAAGTTTAACATAAATAAATAAATAAATATAAATAAATATATAGAGAGAGACACACACACACAGAGACTAAAGTCACACTATCTAATTAATTTTAGAGTGTCTACTACTTTGGTGTTTGTAGGGCTCTTCTAGGAAGTGCAAGTGATTACTGCTCCAAGCAGGTCAAGTGTCCACTGGTGGTTGTGAAGCAGCCTAAGTATGTTTAAGTTTTAAAAATGCAATTTATGAGTTTAGTGATAGTGTGATACCATCCGCTGTATCAATGTGGTTTTATTTCTCTCGCTATCTGCCATAGATGTTTAACATGTTATAGAAGAAGTATTTTTTATTTTTTATGATGATAAATCTGTTGAATTGTGATTAGCAATCCTTTTATGGTAGCATTTTTTTAAAAAGGAAGCATTTTATAGAAAGTTATAAGGCAAAATTCCTTGTAGTAGCATTGTAATCATGTTTTTGGCATAATGTCATGTAATTATCTGGTTTAAACATCAAGAAATATGTATTAATGTATTCTTTTTTCTTTTCTTTTCCTCAAAAAAAGGCTACTCCTGATCCACCTTGAAGTCCATTTTAATTGTATTTATTTTTGTTAAAATTGTTTTTTTTCTTTCCTTTTTGTTGTGCGTATCTTCTGGTTAATTATTTATTTTTATTTTTTGGTTATGAAAATACTCTCTCTCTCTCACACACACCCCACAAGTGCCCCACTCTTTTCTTGTTATCCTGTTGTTTATGGAAGGGTTGAATTTTTTTTTTTTAACTGTATTTTTTATTTTTGGTGAGTTGATTTATTTTTTATTTTTTGGTGCGTTGATTTTTTTATTATTTATATTTATTAATGTTCACTAAAAACTCACAATGTGGGGTCAAATTGTGATATATGTTCTCATGAAGTATTGTTTTTTTCCTTAAAAGAAGAAGATTGAGTGTATGCTATTCTCTTGCTGGAGGCATAGTATCACATGCTCATTTACTCCTTTTTAATGTTCTATCGGCTCGATTAAGAACTAATCAGTTCTTCTTTTTTCAAATTAGAGTTGGTATAACATTTGTTTATATTGAATGCTGAACTAAAATGAGAGTTCAGTTTCCAGTTTTTTAAAAAGTACATTTTTTTTTCTGTACAAAACTGAGTTGTTAGTCAATATGTTACGGTCCTCTAATGATTAAAAGGGCATATATGATTTTAAACAAAAATAGCTTGAGTTGTTGAATTCACGCTTTCTGATTTTCTTTTTTAAATATAGAACTCTAGATGCTTATCATCCCATATTTTCTCTTTATAATGTTCTAATGTCAAACCCTCAAATATTGGCAACATTTCTAATTTTTCAAAAGATGTGATTTTTTTAATTGCAGTTGCTATGGCTTACAGAAAATAGTTTATATTGAATACTGATGTTTCTTTTTTTGGCTTTTTGCTTTATGTCGGTATTTTAAATTGGTTAGTGCCAGATTGGTGCAATTTATAACTAATTACCATTTCATGTTTGTATCAAATATATATGTTTTGGATTCATATTTATAGTGGGGAAGAAGAACAAGGGACTTGCGATGAACGACAAGAAGAACAAGGCACTTGCAATCAAGGACAAATCTCAATCTTCTTGGTCGGCAAATTGCAGTGCACCTGCTAGGAATCTAAGTAAGAGTGATCTTGGTGCAGTTATTTTTGGATGCAAGCATCACACAATCAATGAATGTTATAACAGGCTGCTGTTTGGTTAGTTGGCTACCTTTTTCTGCATGCTTTTCTCTTTTTCTACTATATCTAGATTTTGATTTATGCAGATTTAGCTATTCAGACTCATTAAATGTTTTTCATATTTTTGAACAGGTTTACCAGCTGCTCATTATTCATATGTAAAGAACGTCACTCCTGGTTTGCCATTATTCTTATTCAACTACAGTGATCGGAACCTTTATGGTATCTTTGAGGCTGTAAGCCCTGGACAAATGAATATCAATCGATATGGTTGGATGGAAGATGGTTCAAAGGACACACCATACCCTGCACAGGTATACGCATGTTACTATCACACTCTTTTTGTAACTTCTTTGAGGATTGTGTTGCATTCAGGGTAAAATATATAAAACTGTGAATCCTATGCTTTCTTTGTGTTTAAGGTTCGGGTCCAAATCCAGATGCAGTGCCAGGCCTTGTCTGAAGCTCAGTTTAAGCCAATAATTGCTGAGAACTACTATGGGTATAATCTTTTTTATTTTGAGCTGGACCGAGCTCAAACACGCAGCTTGATCTCCTTGTTTTCATCTTCACCGGTTGCTGGAAATACCTCTCTTTCCCAGAATACATTTAGATGTCGGACCACAACTACTACAAGTCAAGCCGGTGATGACATGACCTCCGTTTCAGAGGCGTATGTTGGTCATTCAGATCGGTCTAACATGCAATGGGGCTCATGGGACTTTCCTGGTTTAGACAGTGAGAGCCAGAATTTGGAAGCACCAGTGGGTGCGGATGCAGCTGGAAAGTGCGAGCAGGAGCTTGTAAACCAAAAACAAAATGCTGAACGTTCATTTTCTTCAGTCGTTATTAACACGAGTGCTTCCCTTCCTCAGAAGAAGTGGAGCTCTCTATTCAAAACTTCAACCACTTTTGATACCTTAAAAGAAAATGAAGAGGATAGTACTCTAGCTTCAGAGATAACAGCTCCTCATTCTGATCACAACATGGAATTGGTGTCTCCATGTGATGCACCTTATCCAGGCAGAGAAAACCAGCTTTTGGAAGCTCATGTAGATGAGTCAGTTGTAGAGAAACATGATAATGAACTTATAGGCTTGAAATCAGATTGTAAATATTCGTACGCTTCTTCTCCTCTGACAGAAGCAACTGGTTCTGTTCCATCGGCCACTTTATTTGAAACTCTACCCTCTGCTGGTACAAGACAGGAAGAAGAATATCCTAAGAGGGTGGAATCAGATTTGAATCTTCTACATTCAGATGAGTCCAATATGGGATGGGAATCATTGGCTACACTTCATTTGGATGGAGAAAGCCAGCCTTCAGAAACTTCTACAGACAACAATTCAACAAAAACATACAATGAAGAACTAGTGCGCCCACAGCAAGATTCAGATTGTTTGTATTCCTCCACAGTAAGAAAAGAGATTAATGCAGGTGACAATTATTCGAAAAACCATGCTCCTTTTGTGATGGCAGGAATACATTCAGAGGACAGATGTTTTTCAGAAGCTGTGACTGTTTCAGAAGTAAAGTCTTCTGATACACAGTCTGTTATAGATAAGGTAACTAAAGTTGTTCCACATCCTTAGCTCCTTTTTTTCTATCATTTAGAATCGGCTCTGTTTACCTTTTGCTTGTTAAATACTTGAGATCTATTATTGTAGTTGATTCAGCAAGTTGAAGCATTGAAGGCATCTCAACTGAAACAAATTCGGAAAATCAGCTCTCTGGAGCAGGAGCGGGTATGATCCCTGACTGTAATATTTTTTTTGCTTTACTCTGCATTTTCCTACTATTGAATCCCATGATATTTCTCATTTTCCTCATATTTTTTTTTGGTAATAGAAAATTGCAATGAAACTTTTGAAATGGTAGCAACTCAGGAGATTTTCAGTTTTTATCTATTTATTTTTTATTATCCATATTTTATAGAAGATGAATATCTACCACCGGGTGGTGCTAGCCCTAATTGAGACCAAATGGGTGTTTAATTGCTTGGTTGGGTTTCTAAAGTGTTAATTAAAGGGCATGGTTTCACTTCTGTGGTAATTATATTATACTAACACGACAAATTATGCTGCTTTGATTATATTATCCGTTCCTGACTTTACATGTGTGGAAAATGGGAATAATACTATCTGCATATATCCTGTTATAATTTGGAAGTAGGACAGAAAATCACCTAGTGTAGAGCAATTGTTATGGTGGGCTACTGACGGGAAATTCCATGGTCTGTGATTCGGACAAGAATCTGATTTCACATGATCTCAATTGTTCAAAGCAAAGGGTCTCTAGCTCAATGGTATGATCTCTCTTCTTTCCAAAGGAGGAGGTTGAGAGTTATGAGTCCCCATAGGAAGATGTTATGAATAATGTGTGTGCGTTTGCTTTACCTTCCAACAAAAAAATTGATCTCAGTTGTTCAAGGAGACAAATCGAATATTCCCTAATACCGAGGCCAAATTTTGGATGTGGCAGGACAAGAATAAACTAGTTATTAACGAATTCTTATTGTTCTTTATAGAAAATAGAATGGTTTGGTAGCTTTGACATTGCCAAGTTACCTTAGCAGAAACTGACACCTAGATGAGCTTTTCAGAAAATGATTTTTTATTGTTACTAACTAAAGATTCAAACAAAAACTTATAATTGATTTTATTCTCTCTGAAGTCCCTCCATAACAATCCCCCAGCTGACAATAATATCACATTGTAAAAAGTCTGCATCAAGCTTTCTGCAGGTTTCACTTTTGAATCCTGTAATTTACTCTGTGAATTAGGTCAACGGAACACGTCTTCCTTTTATGTTTTGTTTGGTTGGAGGGATGGTAAAATGGATAGAAGGGAGAGGGGAAGGGATGGATGAGGCATCCCCAAGGAAGGGAATGTATCTCCCTCATTTTTTGTTTGGTTGGATGGAATGGATAGTAGAAAGGATGGATGTAGTAGAGAGAGAGTTTTATATTGTTTTTACTAATGTACCCTAATTTTATAAAATTATATAAGCATTTCAAATTATGCAACAAGGTAACATTAATCTAACAAGGTAATCAAGGCCTCCCTCTCAGTCTCTAGAGCTTTGTCATACAAGCCAAAGAATGCAAATTGGAATGGTGCTCGAAGTATCATTCTACAACTTCACTGTATTTTTTACATTATAAAGCAAGTGATGCTTTTGCAATAGTTCCACAAATCATGACTATGGAAAACATTTATGTGGCATGATATGGTGCGACAGCCTGGTCTGTCAATTCTGGGGTTTGAATTCGAAGGTAACACGAGAGCTAAAAAAAACTGAATGTCAGGTCTGTAATCACTCAACTACTTCTAGCACGTTCAGCTGAACAACAATGGTAATGTATTGATATATTGGTGTTCTTTTGCTTAGGCCATTTGCTTTTACCCCCTTATTTGGTGACTATGACTAACTTCAAATTCCTTGGACTGCATTATTCTTTAGAAGTGCAATGTTTTTAGATATCCAAGGCTGTATCACCACCTCTGGGTTTACATGCCATCTTGTGGTTTTTGTGCACTTTCAGTTGGTCTCCATCTTATGTTTGGCAATATGACTATCCAAAGTCTTTTACTCCTTATTGTCAATTTTCATAAACCATTTTCCCGAAAGTGTAATGATTATAGATTTTAGTGGCTTAATCTCCCCACCCACTGGCTTTGAGTCTAGACACTGTTTTCCCAGTGACCAAGTTTCCAAATTGTCACCTGTTATCCCTCCCATAGAAGTTCTTCCGAAAATGTTTGTTTGGGCAGAAAAAACTCTCTAGAGGCATCATTTGCTGCCTCTGCAAATGTTTGTTTTGTTTGCACCTTTTTACTACTGCTATATTAACTTAACATGGGTGTCCTGCAAACTCTAGGTTGTATTGAATATTATTACGGTACTGTAGCTGCTGGCATGATTCCCAAATGCCATCTTGGTTTACTAGCTCTCTTATTTCTCTCCGTGTCTATAACAAAAATCACTAATAGATGGTAAGACGTAACAAATTCAATATATTACAAAAATTACTTAACTGAATACAAATACATTTGCTACCTGATTTGGAGCTAAAAAATTTTATGTTGGTGGAAGGGAATTTATAGCCAATAAACGACGTTGCACTTGGTAAAACAACTTGGAGTTGAATGAAATTTTCTTTTAGTTTGACCTACTATATATAAATGGCATGTAGTTCATGCTACCAATCACATTACTGATTTTACTTGGTCTTCTTAGTGTCATTCTCCAAAAAAGGCCTTCAATTTACCTTTCTTACAGTTGCTTACAAGAATGAAATTAGGTTGTGTTTGAATCATGTTGGTCCAAGTTCATGCTTTTATCTAATTATTCTTCTTCATGACCTAATGAATTGAAACTATTTTTCTGGTAACTCAGGTTAGATCAAACATAGAAATTCAACAATTGAAAAGCAGATGTAGCGCGTTGGAATCAGGGTCATTCTCTTCAAATTGGAATGCTGAGGAAGGAGCATCTTGGTAGGCATTTGATGGTTCTCTGGGTCCGATGAGATCTTTTGCGTCCATATATTACTCAGCATCTAAACTCAATGAATGGTGGTGAATTTTATGTACTTTTCTCGTATCGATAGTGATGATGTGTGGTATGGACTTGGATACTATTAAACCTTTAGTGTATTTTGATCTAAGTGTACTGGATGGTAGACTGGAAAATTTCATTGAATTAGAAGGAAAGTCGATATTATCTAATATTGCGTGAAACCGGTCCGTTGCGACATAAATGTGTTAGTATAGTACGTTAAATTTGAAGAGGGGAAATCAGTATTATTCAATAAGGAAAGGTAATTAAAATAGAATGTGTTCATTTATTATTGTGAAGATTTAAGTATTGTTCTTATTAAAATATAAGCTTTTTTCAGTTGTCATAAGCTGTTACTTGTTGATTAAGGTTAGAAGTGTAAATGGTAAATATTTTGTTTTTTGGTCGGAGAAGACATGGACTCCACAAGGAAATGTTTTCGACACTTGCAGATTTGGGTAGGGTAATTTTGTAATTATATTTAAAAAAATGAAATTCAATACAATTTAAAATATTATTATAAGTTAATTAGAAATATAATATATTATGAGTTAATTAAAAATATAATATAAATTTTTTTTAAAAAAAACAAAGTAATAAACATTGTAAAATTAGTGATTTATTTATGATCCTATGGAGAAAATGACAAAAATAATATTATATATATATATTATATATTTTTGACGTCGTCCGTATCGTTCCCCTAACTGTGCTTCCTAGATCCACAAACATTCTATTCTTAAAAATTGGTTGACCATCTTCACATACCCCAATCCATCTGTATCAGAAGATTGAACATCTCCAACAACAGTTTTAGATTGTCCATAGTCAACACTCATATTTTCAGCTTTTTGAAAGGTGCAGAAATGGACCCTCAATTACTGGACCGACTGGTAAAACCTCTTCTCCTTGAAAGGGAGAGATGAGGGGTTCGAACCCCATAGTGGACATTTGGGTGGGTGGCACAGCTGCTGCTTTCAAAGAGTAGCATTTCCACATGAACCGTATTTGCTTTCACGCTCTCTTGCCCTTTATCTTCCATTAAGATTCTGCATTCAACATAACCAAGCCACACCCAGAAAAGCATAACAAGCCAGACCCATTCGTAGTAAAGACTCCGAATCTCTTTCAATCAGAAGGCAGAGTCAGGAAAGCCCCAGTTGAAAACTACTGATTTGGCAAATAATGGAGGCCTTTATCATACATTTAGGCATAGCTAGATATCTTGGCTATAAACAAATTGTACTTTCAATATTGGCGGTATGTTTCTAGCTGAATGCTTTAGCAATGAGCTTGTTTTTCTGTACTTAAACATGTGCTAGCGGTTGACTGAATCTCATATCATAATTGACAAGTTTAAACAAGAGTCAACAATGCATTTCACAGAAGTGTTCCAGATTTCAACCCCCTTTTATTTTTTGGATATTTAGTATAATTTCACTGGCATCAAGTATCTATAGCTTCATAATTATACAAAAATACATCTAGCACAAATGAAATAGTTCTTCTCAACTTCTAATGAATGATCAGTTATTTCTGGATCTATAGTCGATTTAAATGACAAGCAATGGCACGTTGATATCACCAGCTATACCTGTGTCTCCTAATTGCACGAGGATAGGAGGCAATAGATGGTAAGAATTGAAGGATTTAAGAAAAAAAAACTGCAAACCTCACGCTCTCCAACAAATATGACTATGAAATTATCGCAGATTGAGGACAAGAATCACTCGATACCATGAAATGATGGCAATACAGCAACAAGAGGGTCTCCATAACCAATAGCCTCTGTAAACAACACAACGTATAAACATAAGCAAATCAACATGCAGAGGTGCTTTACTGCTAGACAGTAGACATTTTACATAACCATGCATCAACTGCTGAAGCATTCTTGGAGCTCCTAGAATTTAGTAGCATGACCTCAACTAGGTGATATCAATCAAGAATAATCAGTATCAATAATGAGAACAATGGACACTTGAAAGAATATCTGTTTTTCTCTTAATTTTCTTGAAATGACTGCTATGTCTTAGGTGCAAGCTTTTATGTGCCAAGTACACACTATATCCACACATAAGTGGCTTATTCTACCCAACAAAGCTTGGTTGCTCAAATCAATATGAATCATGGATGTTTCACGTTCTCTTTCTAACGACGTAGAATGGAGGTGTTGATGCACGTGAATAAGTTGACATTGTTATACTAACCACACTACCCGGTTATGGCAGTATGAAAATTCATAGCATATTCACAACTGATAAACAAGAAACGCAATTGCCTGACACCCCCAATAACTCAATATGAAAAAGAAATTAAAACATCCCACAAAAAAGATGTGTTGTCTGGAGAAAGAGGTGGGGAAGAAACCATCATTACTTAAAATATCCTATAGTTATGTAGAACTCTTTCGTTGTTTATTTATCTAACCTTTTTCGTCTCTACCAAGGATTGTAGCATAGTGGTATTTCTTCACCTTCCAATGTAGAAGGTCGAAGAAACAAGTCTCCATAGGGGCAAAGTGGAAAAAAACTTTTTGTTCTATATAAAGCTTTTCTATTGTATTTACCAAGCATCCTGTCTCCTTGTTGACTAATATTATCGAGACCAGAAAAACTATATGGATGAAAGTTATGCGACAGTTTTCAGCCAAATTTTATGGGTAGCATCCTTTACCCTGTTTGAAATCCATATGTAATCGACATCTAATAATTATATTCTACTATTTATGCCCTTATGATGTTCACTATTATCTCGAATGACGTGAGACATCAATGATATCTAAAAGAATAATTAAAAACTTAAAATATTACAGCAACATACCCCCATCATCAAAAAGGAGCTTTACGACTTCTCCGGCTACATCTGACTGCTCAAGAAAGGTCATAAAAGAATAGTCATGAAAAAGAATTCTATCACAACAAAGGTATAGTTCAAGAATTTTAAAAAAAATCTCACCTTAACAGGAAGTTCGGTGCCAAACTGATCCAGAAATCCTATTGTTTGACCTTCTTTGATTACATCACCCTGTATACCAGGCAGAAGAAAATTAGAATCATATATCCATAGAAGTACTCCACAAAATGCTTCTCAATTTCAGAATCCGTGTCAATAATAGTTTTAAGCACACGATGTTCCTATAGAAATTGCTATGGATGATGGAAAGAATAAGTAGATAAGCGCACACCAAAGTGCCAAATAACTGCCATAAGATGTAATTTAATACGTAAATCAATTATCACCTAATACAATTCTCCTTTTTCCTATATTGGATCTCCAAATTTGGATTGATAAGTCAACTTTTTGCACTAAACTTTTTGTGGAATCACCTTTTTGTTACTTGCAAATTCAGGATATTTCTACTACAGTTTGTCTAAGCATGACATAGCCAAATGTAGAAGAAGTTTGGATGTTATCATCAACTATCAAATTCAAGCACTTAAAAACACATGATTTTGGAATAAGGAATATTAATAGGATATTTGACAATGGAGAAATAATAAAATTAAAAAAAAAAACATGAATTTTAGGGAGGCCAAACATATATAGCACACACATGGCAATTGAAAAAAGGAGAGCTCAGGGGTTCAATTCTTAACAATATTGAGCCAAAACGGTAAAACAACATAAATAGGCATGCAATGCATACCTCTTTACAAATAGGAGGTTGCTTCTTTCCCTTCAATGTTCTGCCCCTTCGGAACGATCCAACCTGGGAAAAGTGATCACACAGAATACGTAACAGAATACAGAACAACATCTGTTCCATACAAACAATAGGTGACAAAAAAATCCCTGAATACATACAGTTGGAGATGATACTAGAACATATCCACTAGCTTCAGAAGCCTCCAAGGCTGCTAACTTTGCTGACTTCACTTCAGAGACATTTGTAAATGGAGTGATTTTTTCTGAAGAGGATTTTGGTGGCTCAGCAGGAGCAGATTCAATAATGGGTTTAATCGGAGTAGGTGTTGGTGTTGTTTGAGAAAAGACAGGCATGGGAGCTTTTGTAGCTCCAATGTTCCGCTTCAGGTGCATTTCAAATTCTCCCACCTATCACAGAGTAACAAACGTCCAGTCTTAGATGAGAATGTATAATTTATACATTCTGCACATTCATACAATTACAACTTGCAAATTTTGCCATGTCATATTTTCTTTTCTGTTTACGCTTCGCATGATTAACGGCCCTGGAACCATTAATGTCTACATGCATTACAACTCAGCCCATCAGACCATAAGCAAACTGAAGTCATTTTTATTTTGTTATAGTGAACTTTATTAGTCATTATTCAGCTTGAAGCCATGGAGTGAAAAATAGAGTGTCATCGCCTCATTGGCATACAATAAGGCCATACTTTCATGAAAATGCCTAGTGCATGTAATGTACATCCTCTTTCATGCATGTTTGCCACATATTTCAATCACATCCCAAATTCTCTTCTCAGAAGTTTTTGGAGTTGTTGATATAAGTTGTAACATATTGAGCTGCCCCCACCAATCCAGAATTAATTTTTCCTAAAGAACTCATTTGAAACACAACTGCGAGAACATGAAAATTTGTGAACATAAAAAGTAAATAAGGAGTTTACCTTTAGCTTCAGCTCAGCAATCTGTGTCTCATCACAGACATCCAAGACCAATTTCTGATATAGAGCAAGCATGGTAGTCAGGGTTCAAGCAAAAATACAACGATACAGTTTTATTTTTCGGTTAATGATTCAAAAGGAGCGATTATTATCAATATATGTAGGACAAGAAGTTTAAGAAAGACATGGGAAGAATTTTAACAAAAACGATATACAAAAATGTGGAATTGTATTAATGGGCGTGCTATGCCCTAAGCATTCTTTTTTAAACGTTGACTATATCCAGGGTTGAAAATTCATTAGCATCTGAGGTCCTTGTTAAGATGTTATGTCCACGACATGAAACATACACACAATCACAAATTCCAGCATCTATCTATCTAAATAAACCTTAGAAGAGATTGGAGTTCATTATGAAAGAATAACCATAACTAAAAGTAGCATGCACATAAAATCGGAAAATCAATTACCTTAAAAAGATTGTCATGAGTTAAAATTAACATTAACAGCTGTGGACCTAAAAAACCAAAAGCTAAATCACTAACACACCAAGGTCATGAGACCTTCCCTCAAAGCGAAGATAACCACTGTTTTAATCTTTCACAAATTAGTTTCACAGTACTCAACTTTGGGGTGACTGCGGTAGCTGGAGAAAAAATTCAAAACAAGGATGCCTAGAAGTGAGTTATTAATTAACGTCTTAATTAACTCTTTCTTCCCCAAATTTTGGCCCCAGTGAACAAGGGTGTAAGTATTGAATCTATTGATCTAGTCAGCAATCAACAAATCAACTTGATTTAATTAGTTGCAGCTTTAGTGCAACATCCATCATTGCATTATCACTTAGTTTGTGGCAAAACAATAAATTTGCCGTTGGTAGGTGGTGGTGGAGGAGCCATCCCTGCAGGGTCTCCATCATAAGTTGAATAGGGACTCAGCTAGTGTGAACATGCTAAGAGAATAAGAATAAAATAATTAAGAGATGAAAGAAAAAACCACACAAACCTCCTACAATTTGACGATTTCCAAGATATTTGGTTTGCTGGAGCTGGAAAAGCATGTCAAATAGATGAGTGGACGTGGATATCTCATTGTAGGTGTATAATGTATTTGCATGCCAGATTCACTCTAGTTTGGAACGAGAAGAATGGTTTTGATAAATTAAAAAATTAATTGTTATATAATTTTGAGTTTGCATATAAACCCTTGCACATCTGATTTTTAAGAAGCAAATTAAAATTTTACCCCTATTTTGTGATAATTTTATAAAGGATATATTGGAAGTCGATTTTACAATTCCCTGTCAAGAACTTTGCTCCTTTGTTCTTCCTCTTAAAATATCCTTTGTCCACTAGTACTCACACCATTATTCAGACAGTGTTACTCTTTAGCAATATTCTTGTATCTCATGTTTTTGAAGGTTTCGAGAACCGGACAAGCATTTGAACCAACACACGTATCCAACTGCATGGAACATGAGTATTAATTGCACTTTGATTTTGAGTACTATGTGATTGTTCTTATTCTTAGATCTTGGTGATTGTGGTTTGGGTCAGCATGGAGCTTGGTTTGTAGTGAAATTATAAAAATAATTGGTTCTAGGGTTAATAATGGAGCTTAATAGGTGTAACATATATCTTGTAGAGTATAATGGATGATCGAGTATTGGGGATAGCAGTCAAGGTGGCGGCGGTTGTTGATTGAGATGGTGACTATAATATCAGTGAAAGCAAGAGGGTTTTGGAAGGTTTATAATGGACTTCTCAATTCCTATGAAGGGTAACTTTAACTTTTCTTTCTTTTGTGTGTGTGTGTGTGTGTGTGAGTGGGGGGTTCTGGAAATTTGTGATATTATGTCTCATATTCTGTCAGTGTGCCTCCAACAATTGACAAATGAGAGCAGAATCCGTTAAGCAGTGTAATTTCAAAAACCATGGGAGGTCTATGCAATTTACACCATATAGAAGTAACTTGATGGTTTGTTTTTGCATGAGAATCAATCAACATTAAATAAAGAAATAAACCCATGAAATTCCAACCAAATGTTGGAAACAATGTGAGCTTTGAAGAAACAAACTCACCTCAAACCCACTAGGGAAGGTTGCACTTTGCATAGAATTCTTCACCACTGATCCTTGTGGATGGCTATCTTTTGAAACTGCTCCATTATAGTTACCAACTTTAAGATGCAAAAAGGTATATAAAATGCTCAAAAATAGCATACAGTTACATAATATCCACAAGTAAAAATAGCAAAGGAGTTTCAAACAACTCTTTATTAAAAAACACAAGGAATCAGCAAGACAAAGTGCAATGAATAGTTTGAACTTGTAATGAAATCCAAAACACAAACGGACTTAAATAGTTTGAACTTGACAGGAAAATGCCTACTAAAACCAGGAATAGAATATAAGTGGGTACATTTACTGCAGGATTTGAAAGCACTCTTGAGCCAAAAAACAAAAAACGATAAAACAAAAAAATTATAAAAAAAGGAACAAAAAAGAAAGGTGAAACAAAACGGCACCTAAATTGAATGGCAAACAACTCACCATCAGACTTAGCTGTCATTGTAGTTTCAGAAGTCTTTAAACAAGATACTAGTGTTCCTTCTCTCTTTCTTGGAGCAGCAACAAGTTTTCCACCAACTGTCAAGCCTTGGATGTTCAATCTACTTGAGATGTTACAGGTGGTATTATGCACGGGAACCATGCCAGGTCTCTCAAGTATAGACCGCACACGTGAAACGGTGCCTACAAAATATGGATGTGTTAGTCCTATATCAACATTAAATAGTGGTCAAGTGCTAATTACAGTTGACTAGTTTTTTATATCGATGAAAACAAAAATATACATATATTTAGATAAGAGAACTAAAAGTATATGGCACAACAAAGAAATCCACAGTAAGACATATGATAAGCCAATAGTCCTTAAAATTTGAGCAAAAAATTTGATTCGTGAGCTTTATAATTCAATACAGACATTATAGAATCAACATCATATGATAAGAAGATGGGTGATAAGAGGTAAAGAAGCATATCATATAATACAAATTGAAGGCACTTATTAAAAGTCTAGAATCCAGATTCCCCACAAAATTTTCCACATTGATGGTCTGTATTTTCCAATTAGGCACAACAACCACTTCAGTAATATTACAATTGCCCAATCTGAAATCACATTATAAAGTTGAAATAAAAAATCCAATTGCACACCATGAAAGCAAAAGCACAATCTATGCAACAAAAGGGATATATGTAGAGCAATATGCATGAGTTTCTATGTGTGGCATTTGCATATTAATAATTCTAAAGACAGGGCACAGACAGTAACAAATTAAATAGACAAATGAAGATCTAAATTGTTTGTTGCAATGCTGGAAAGATGAATCAGATAGTCTCAACTGAATTTAGCCGCTCCTTTGACCTAGATTTCCATTTGAATATTTTATACCACTACCTCTATTGGGTTAAACTGGAATCTGTTTCCCCCTTTCCACTAATGGTCATAGTAATTTAATATAAAGTTTTCGAAAAACATGGCTACTTACATTTTAACTAAACAAAATGCGAAAAACCTAAATTTTTGAACCCCGTCCGCCTACCTGCAGTTATGTAGTGAAAAGTAGAGTTTCTATAGAGGATTTTTGAATGAATATTAGAAATATTTATCATTAAGCAAGTTCTCTGATAACATACCGACGCGACAAAATAATTTTGATAAACTTTTTATTAATTTGATTAGAAAAACCAGCTCATTAAATTTCCTACCACATTTTCCATGCCTTTTTCCAATATCAGTATTAACTTTCAAATTAGAACACATAGATTTAGTGCCTTGGTCAACTAAGCGATACTCGAAATGAGAAAACCTACACATATCTATGGCTCCAAATTAAAAAAATAACTTGGTTTCAATCAGATCCACTTAGGTCAACAGATACAAAAAGCATGCAGATTAAAATGTACAGAACTCCAATACAGCTCAAGAGAATAATAATATTATGTAAATAGAGAGCAATCCGATCACATCGAGCTTGCTCAAACGACACAGAACATTTTCACACACATACACGAGACAGAAATAAATATACAACTGATGTCGCCGCTCGAATGGATCTGAGACATGAAATTGAAAAAAAAAAATGACTGTGGAGATCGAATATCAGTCACTAAAAGCAACATTCAAGCTAGAATTCGTAACAGAGAAAAGTAAATGCCACAAATTTAGGATCACATGACATAACAACAACAAAAAAATTCCTACACATTTATCTAAAATTCCTACACATTCATCGACAATTCTACATATTCACATTCTGTAGGCGTAAACATATATGCATATATTGCATGAATAGAGAGAGAAAAATACAGTTGAAAGAACGCAGAACAGCGGCGGACTCCATGGAAAAGGGAAAAAGTCCAGCTGGTGGAGAAATCTGAGAGATGAAGTGAGGTTAGAGAGAGAAAGTATGCATATATGTGTATGTGTGCGTATATATATGTGTAGAATTGAGGGACGAGAGAGGTTGTGAGTTAGGTTAGCTCTAGTTGTGAATGAGGTGTTTGTCTTCTCGAAATCTCCGCCTCCCTCATAACTTTCTCCACCCACAGCTGCCCCGCTTCAGTTCTGTTTGCTAACATGCGCCTAGTTTTTTTGTCCACGTGGCCTTAACCGTCGCCTCTGTCCGTGAGAGCTCTTCTTCAGTGCGCGCGGCGGTATCGTTCCACCCTGCACCTTCGAATGTGGACGCTTCGTTTGAATCGAAAAGATCCACGTCTCGATCTGGTGTGGACGATGGGAGTTTTTAACGAACTTCTAATATAAAAAATAAAAAACTATAAAAAACCAAGTTTAATTATTAGTAGGTGTGTCTGTGTTTGAGTTTCAAAGTTTACATGGCAATGTTTCAAAGTTTAAGGTTTATTTAATTTGTAACTTTAAATAAGTTTTTAAAAAATTGAACCAAGTAATTTTTTTTTTCTTTTTTTTTCTATTTTAGTTTTTTGTTGACAAGAGTCGCCACTTAAAAGAGACTCGTGACCTTTATATATTCTTCTATTTTGGCTCAAATGCAAAAAATTTGCTTAAACTATCATGTATTATTTTTTTTCTCGTAAGATTATCATGTATCAGTTAATAATTCTTTTTTATGTTGTAAAAGTTAAAGCGGAGTCCATATATATATTAAATGTTAAACATGTATTATTTGAGTTTATGTATGTTAGGAATGAAAAAGTGTGATTTATGTGTGTACAGGTGTGGGTTACGAACAAGAGATGAAGCAAAAAACATAGTAAAACCTTGAAAAAAATTTGCCTATATACGTGCGTATTGTGATGAAAGATATAACTCCCGAAATAAAATAATAATAAAAAATTCTTATTGTGATGAAAGCTGTAACTCCCGACATAAAAAATAAATAAATAATAATACTGTAGTAAATTTCTAAGGAGCAAATTATTTGTCTCCCCACTTTCATACTTATATCTCTTATGCTCTATATTTATTACTTTATAAATTTTCTCTTATATTTATAATAACCTCTTTGTTTCATAAAACCTGTCAAAAGTCTTCCATTTGTTAGACACGTACATCTTACATCACATATCTTTGCCATAAATTATAAATTTATAATATAACCAATATATTTTTTCCTTTGACACAACGACTCCTTTAATGGTGGGTCCAGTTTTGTGACCCGAATAGAGGAAAATAGGTCAAGTTATTTCAATTAGAAAATGATGTGCACTTAAAGTTGTTATTTCATAGCTTCAAGTTGTAACCCACAAAGAAGAGGAAGGATGTTCGTGAAGGTTGATATTTATGTTCTGTTGCGACTCACGACGAAAGCTGTGATTAAGTTGTAAAAAGTTAATTATTGAAAGAGTTTTGAAGTGTCTTGTAAAAAAAAAATACTATATATATGGAGTGAAATGGTGTCTTTTGAGAAGGATAAGTATGCCATTTACTCTTCAAAATAGTTGTGAAAGAAAAATTATTTAAATATTAATCTATTTTCACTAGGGGTGATGGTTCATGTTCGTAAGTAGTGTGTATAAATGTAATATATTAAATAAATTAATCTAAACTTAACCTATTTAATAATTGTGTCAAGAATTCTTAATACTAACCCAATTCGTTTATTAAATTGATAAACGTGTTAAACCCGTTTAATGACCTATTTATCAAAATGAGAAATTAATATTTAATCAAATACTAAATAATAAAAAAAAATGTCATAATTAATTCAAATATTCAAAATTAAAAAAAAAAAAATTATGAGATATAGACAAAGTTGATGTTGAAATGACTTAAGTATCCATAATAATTAGGTTTAATCAGATAACATATTACATAAGTCATATTCACGATTATAATATGTTGAGTTAAATGGGTCATAAACGGACTATACGGGTTGAACCCTCAACTCTAACCCACACAGTTAAATAAACGGAATAATTGTGTCAATCCTTTTATAACCCAAATTCATTTATGTCAGATCCAAATCTTTTTAACTTATATCATGTTCGTGTTGTATTGTTGTGTCGTAATTTTTTTTTTTTTTTTTTTTTTCCGAATGGCAAGATTTTATAAATAACAGAGAAATACAACAACGAATCATGGACAAGCCAATATGAAAAGAACCACAGAAACAGTAGGCCAAGGCCAACAGTATAAAGAAGACAAAACAAGTCTAGTATGTATAATAGTAGACTGTGAATCATACATCTATTATCTCGATTTGACTAGAAGAAAACAAGAAGAAATGAAAAGAGTTAATGAATTTTTTTTTTTTATAATTATTTTTTAACATTTTTAATAGTTAAAGATAGTAGATTCTAAAAGAGATAAAATTGTTTAGTAAAATAACTTTTCATAATTATGTAAAACAAATTGGTTTTCACTTCACTTTCACTTTTTATTATTGATTTCGTTCTAACTTATCATTTTAATTGTTGACCTTAAGGATTTCATCTAAGGACAATCTAGAGGTTTTGATAATAACAAACTATTAATGGTATTTAAGAACTAATGTTTATATTAAGTGTTATAGATTATTCACATTCAAAGGATGACCTCAATGAAGCACGAAAGATCATTTTAAGTATTCCATTATTCAAGATCACATTAAGAAAAGCAATGGATACAAAGAAAACATGAAGTTGCAAAGAACCAAATGCAAAGTCCATCCAAAGATAACTTGGACTACAACGAGCAAGAAAGTAACTCAAAGAAAGGAAGAAGCAAGTCTACCTAAAAGCCTACACGATCATGGACAAAGCATGAAGAAGGAGGTAAATAGGATGATGAGTGTTTAGGATTCAATGTCAAAGTATTTATGAATTTATTTGAAACTCATTTCTGTAGGACCATGCATATCATATCATCATTCATATGCTCCTATATCCATTAGTAATAGATTATGCACTTCATTCATATATAATTGACATATGGAGTAATTGCTAAATAATGAGTTAGTTCAAGCTTGCATAAGCTTTGAAAGAACTCATCACTTGTGCTAGAAATGCTAAGACCATGCACATCAATTATATAATTCATATTGGTCAACAATTAAGGCATGAGAAACCTTCATTACCATGAGTTGGTAACGGACATTAAGACCCCAGAATGCGCGTCATGAAAAACTGTGTTTTTGGCTAAGTGTGAAAAATGGATTTTTGAAATAATGATTATTTCAAAATAATTTTTCCCGGTAATAACTCTTTATACTTCAACTAGCCTAAACTGTTTTTATCAGAATTTTTGACCAAGTCTACATTGGTCTACATACGGATTCATTTTTACCAAAACTGTCGGAAATCCAAATCTGTACTAAAACTGAATTTCTACATTTTGATTTAGTTGAATTTCAATTTTCTAGTATTTTTTATTGAATCCAAATGGGGGGTACTTCCTTATTTACATTGTAATACATTTACTTAAATGTTTTCAATGAAAATAAGGTGTATGCAGAAGTCCTGTACAAAAACTGTCCAGTTGAACTGTCTAAAACACTGTCCCTAAAATCTGATGACCATGTAACCGGTTAGAAGAATCGAGTAGATGAGCAAAACAGAAAGCAACATGGTCAAAGCCACCTTATAACCGGTTAGGAAGTTTCATCTAACCGTTTAGATGAAACAAAACAGAAAGCTTGATCTTCTTATCCGCACCTTGTAACCGGTTAGAAGAATTGTTCTAACTGTTTAGATCAACATACAAAACATTGTATCTACCTTCTCGTAACCGGTTAGGAGAACTCAAGTAACCGTTTACATATACTTAAACAGAATACGATTTTTTCTTAGCCAATGATGTAACCGGTTAGAAGAAGCTATATAACCGGTTAGATGTGCTTTAACAGAATGAAACTTTTTTTGACCATTGATGTAACCGGTTAGGATGAAGCTTGTAACCGTTTAGTTGAACTAAGCCAGAATAATGTCTTCAATCATTTGCATTCAAGTAACCGGTTAGATAACAACTTGTAATCGGTTAGATGAGATCTAAATTTCATCTACTCGAGGAGTTTAAGCCTTGTAACTGGTTAGATGAATGGGTAGAAGCTTCCCAACGGCTATTTCAACCATCTGACTTCCTGGGAACTTACCATAATGCCCCCAAACGGCTATATTCTTCGAAGGGCCTATAAATACACAATATAAGGACATTGTGGGTATACAAGAGAGCCAACACTTGAGAGACCTCATTAGGCATCAAAAGAGAGCTTTTGTTCTCATATTTTCTCTTTATCTCTCTCATTCATTCATATACATACTTGAGAGATTCAACTAAGGATTAAAAGAGCTTTTGCTCTATTCTATATTTGAGAGATTCTATTGAGTTCATAAGAGCATTTATTCTTCACTTATATCATCTTCTCTCATCAGATCATTCATAGAGTTTGAGCTTCATTGATATTCATATACACTCTAGTCTTGTGAGTTTACATTTGTATATCTATCTCGAGAGAGATTCAATCTTGTACTTTAACTACAAACTTCTCTACAAACTTGTAAGGGTTAGTGTGACCCAAAAGAAGCCTAGAAGAAGGGTGTTCTTCTAGCAAGAAAGAGAAGTAAGGGCTTGCTTCATGTAAAGGTTTGCTCTCCACCTGTAAGGAGAAGGCATAGTGGATTAGAAAGTCTCAAGAGGGGTCTTGAGCCGAGGAGTAGGAGTTTCCGAACCTCGCTAAAATCGCCGAGTCATTGTTTGCAATTTCTCTTCCATTATCTCTTTTACAATTGTGCTATTAATTGTTTACTTTCATATCTTAAATATTGCATAATTGCTTAGGGGTTGATTAGAAATTGTAAATCTATAAATTGCGAAAATTGGCCATTAACTCTATTCACCCCCCTCTAGAGTCAATTCTTGGGCAACATTAATATTTTATAGCAATTAAATTTTTTTTTTTAAAGTAAATTCTGCATCAATAAAGGTTTCACGAAGATAAATTTTTACTTAATTTTAGAGGTGGTGTTCTAATGAATGGGTGATTTCGTAATAGTGTGATTTTCAAATACAAATTATGTTTCTTTGACAAAATAGGTTCATAGACAATGCAACTGTGTAATTCATGAAGTGAACAAATGGTTTGTAACTTCCAATTTCTTTGATTTATATAGACTGAATTGCTTTTCCTGTTCCTTTGCTCTAATTTATCTGCTTGCTTGGAAAAAGAAAATGCAAATTGTTTGTTTGAAATGGTTGAAATTAACTTCCAAAAAGATTAAAAAAAAAAAAAGAAAAAAAAAAAAGGTGAAATTAGTTTGAAACAAATTTATAGGATTTATAATTTCTTTAAAATAAAATTTATACGGAGTATTTTACAATCCTATAATATTGTTAATTTTTAGCGTTTATTAAAAGTCATTCCATTCTTTTCTTTTTGGATCCAGTTTTAAAAAGGGTTTTAATTCCAAGGAAAACATTGTTAGGAGTAATTATTTTGGTTTCCATTATCATAAATTCCTTTTCAGCATCTTTCCCATCTCTCTCCTCCAATTTTTCTGTACTGTACCCGTTTAATCCCCAAAACTCCTTTCACATTCACTCTTCACGCGTATTCGACCATCTCACATCCTCCGTCTCGATGGCTTCACCTCCAACCCTTCCGATCTCACAGTCAGCCACCAACGGCGGCCAATCTCAGCCGCCTATCGCCACCCCAGCCTTTCGCTCCTTCATCACGCGCCTCACCTCCTCCGTTCGTCAAGGCTTAGCCCAACGCCGCCCTTGGTTGGAGCTTGTAGATCGCTCCTCACTCGCCCGCCCTGACTCCCTCACCGACGCCGCCTCTCGCATCCGCAAGAACTTCTCCTACTTCCGCGTCAACTACGTCACTCTACTCGCCCTCGTCTTGGCTCTCTCCCTCCTCTCTCACCCTCTCTCACTCCTCGTCCTTCTCGGACTCCTCGCCTCCTGGTTCTTCCTCTACCTCTTCCGGCCCTCCGATCAGCCTATCGTCCTCTTCGGTCGCACGTTCACCGACCGAGAAACCCTCGGCGTGTTGGTGGTCTCCACTATAGTTGTGGTGTTCCTCACCAGCGTTGGATCGCTTCTGATCTCTGCTCTCCTCGTCGGATTGGCGATTGTGTGCACGCACGGAGCTTTCAGGGTTCCGGAGGACCTCTTTCTTGACGATCAAGAACCTGCGAACGCCGGATTCCTCTCTTTCCTCGGCGGCGCCGCCTCGTCCGCTGCCGCAGCTGCAGCTCCGGCCGTTGCCGTGCGCGTATGATGAAGTTGGAATTAGATCTGATCTGATTCGATCTGGCTGGAGGCCACTGAGGTTTGTCAGGATAAAAAAATCGATTCCTCTCCGTTTGATCAAGTTGTACCTTTTTTTGATAGAAATATGATTCATTTTGTAGGATTTTCCCGAAATTGGTTAGAGACTTAGAGATGTGTAGTTAGATTGGATCTGTAACCTGCAATTTTAGACCCACCTTTCACTGCTTTGCTTGTTTCTAGTTCAATTTCTAATGGATTGAAATTATTAATTGTTCCATAGACAAGTTGTTGATCTGTTACTCATTATATATAAGAAAATGGTAGTTATGTTTTTTTGTTTCCCCTGATTATATGTTGATTTCAAGTTTTGATGGTCAGTATTTTCTTTTCTGTTCTTTGTTTATGTTAGTGTAGATTCATGTATGCTTTATTTAATAGAAAGTACTGAACGTTTCAGTCTATAGAGGGGATGATACCTTCTCTAATATGTATTCTTAGTGGTTTCTTGATCATGTTGCGTTTCAGATTGATTTTGAACTTCAACAACTGGTTTGATTCTTCCTTTCAGAAGGTTTTTTTTGGTGAATATGATTTTAATAATTGGAGAAATTAGTCAAGGTTCAACTATAAATCAATGATCCAAATGCTGGGTTTTCGTCCCCATTTATTTTATCCTCTTATTGCTGCTATCACTCTTTATTCCTCAAGATATGAGCGTGTTCTACTATCTCAATTGTTAACTTGCTTTCATCACATTTCATCACATGTAAATATAGGCCGTCATTCTTTAGTTTTGTTGAGGCCAAGAAAAGTTATCTCCTAGGCGAGGTTACATGGAGGCGAAAGGCCAATATGTGGGTGATAGATTGATTTGTGAATTCTTGCTCAAGTCATTGGGAGTTCACCACCTGATAGAGACGTTCATACGAGCATTGTATGATTGCTTAACGTTTCAGAATATAAACTTTTTTTGAAATTGTAATTGTCACATTTGTTTGGTTGTGAAGAGATCATAATGAATATTAAGGAACTTTGTGGTTTAATTAGTTGTGTGGATTATATCATTTTGAAAGATCATGTATCTTAGGAGCAATTTTATCCTGAAAGCTTCTCATTTCCTTAATGAATTTGCTACACATCGAGAGAGTTTGTTTTTAAGATAATGATTTGTGAAGTTTTTGATCTGTAGTGTCCATTCTAAGTGCAATACCCACACTTCTTTAGCAGTGAATAAATCAAAGTTGAGCATTGAGGAACCATCTCGTTATTAAGATATTGTCTGTTGCAAAGAATGGGGTAGTGTATAATTAGAGGCCTGCAATTTATGAGTTGTGAATCAGATGTAGTTTATGAGCTGGATGGAATAAAGATTCACCAGTGGTGGTCTTACATCATGTATTCAATTACTTGAGTTGTATAAGTAGTGGTCTTGCAACAATAGAATTGGTTTTTAGACATTGTCTTTTGGCATAGCTTGAGTAGATTTTGTCGCAATTTACATCATGTATTCAATTACTTGAGCTGTATAAGAAGTGGTCTTGCAGCAATATAATTGGTTTTAAAACATTGTCTTTTGGCATAGCTTGAGTAGATTTTGACTCAACTTGCTGTTTGATAAGATTGAGGTACCTGAGACACCAAAGAAGACCAAATATTGGTTCTCGGCAGATTTCTTGGATCAATAAGTTTTCCTGGATCAGTTTAGTAAGAATGTTAGTTGTAAATCAGGTCTTAACAGTGGGAACTAATTTTAATGATAATTGGGGTTGATTGAGGGGAACCTGGTCTTCAGAATATCAGTTTTGAAGTTATACACTTATTGTGTGTGTGTGTGAGAGAGAGAGAGATTGCCTGAAATGAAATAATGTACTGTGGCATCCCTGTTTATGGTGTTGAAGCACTTTTGAGTTCACATAAAGCTAACCACTAGTCCCCGGCTATCCAAGAAATCTTTGTGTTTCTAAATTCTGTGTCGCATTTATAAAAGTTGATGATAACTACTCACTTTAATAGATATAGACTTTAATAAAAGTCACTCATTTTAATTGATTTAGGCTTTCTTATTTGGAAATTCTACCAATACCGCTATCATATAGGTGTTTGTAATAGTGAAGTGGCTATGCATTAGTTTCATAAAACAGATGGGCTCATAGCTCGACTCTGTATTGTACCTCAGCTGGACCTTGTGCAACGTTTATAGACTGGACTTGGTTGACAAAATGAAAGCAATCTTCAGTTCCCCTGTGTGGATTACTAAGATATAGTTCAGCCATCTAGGTTGACAACATCCTCTCCTAGTAATTGTTTTGTTCTACTGTCTCCTAGGCACTTGACTCTGCACAACCCTTTGAATGCTGTAGGCCTCGAGTAAGATCTGAATGTTGGCAGGTACAAAAAATGTAGAACTTGCATTAATCTACTTATGTAAATAATTTAATTTTTGCAGGATTGAAATCTACTTTCTGCAAGGATTGTTAGTTCTTTGCTAAACAATGTTGAAGTTTATGTTTGTTTTTTTATCTTCTCCTTCTACCACCTTCTAAGCTCATCTCAATCATTGTTTAATACTCCACTTACCCTGACGAGGTACTTACTAGTAAGTAAGGATTCCATGGTTACGAAAACAAATACATTGTTGGTGTTACAGTGTTGCTTAATAATCCAAAATGCGATTAATTTTATTCGTAGGTCTCCGCAGGGATGATTGTTTAACCCAAGACCTCGTACAAAGGTCATGGAAGCCTTTGGGAAAATTAAACGAAGCTTTTAGGAAAACTACCTCTTAGTCCTACTTCTGATTCACAACTCATTAGGACCAAAGAAGTCTTACGGTTGAGTTCTATTTCCATGAAAGTTCTATAAAAACCAGAATACCTCTTTTACCCTTTTCATTAGTTGCTCTTTTTGTGTTTTCTGTATTTTTCTTCTTCTTCTCAACATCTTCTTTCCTAAGTATGCGCCATTTTTTCCCTACTTTTTGCCAAGTATCTGCCATTTTTTTCCCTACTTTCTGCTTTCCCCCCGCGGGCGGGCCCCCCCAAAAAAAACCAAAGGCTACGTTTGGAAAATTAAAGCTGCCCTCAAAATTCATTGTGTAAATGTCTTACTGCTCAAATGGTTTGGAAATTAAGCGTAGCTTGGCATCCAAATGCTTGGACTTCTGAATCAAGGCAGGGTAACTCCTGAAATTCTATCAAAAGCGTTTGTGAGATTTCTATGAATTTCTGATGTTCTTTCTCAATCACGTCTGCCAGACATTCTTGCAGATATTCCTTCCCCCCATCGCTCATATGTGCTGCCCTTCGCATGATGGACACCTCAAAACAAATATTGAGGCGACCTTTCTCTTCCTCTCGGAATGAATGCGGAGGTGGCAGAGTGGTTCGAAATGCCGATAGAAAGGTCGTTCGAGTAGCCCATGTTTTCCATCAGAATATTCACTCAGCTGTTGTGGCAAAGAGTTTGTGTTTCGTGATGCTCTGCCCCTACTTTGAACTGGAATTTGAATCACCATCGCCAACCATGCATAGAATAGCCCAGAAGAAGTAGTTGTGCTGCTTGCAGACATCAATGTCATCCTCTCTTCCCACTCTGGCATCCTTTCTTTCTGGAGTGTGCAATCGATTGCCTGCGCAAGCGGACTCTTCAGTACGGAGCAAACTGTGAAAGATTGATTAAGTTCCCTCCTCTTTTTACCATACAGGACTCAAACCTTTCCTCTAACAATTATAACTATACAGTGGCAAATTAACATCCCAAATTTCCTCCTGCGTGGGAGGAGATCTTGTTGTCACGGGTCATCCTGTTTGCCAAAATGATGCCATTTTGGTGCACGTATAGCTCAATGCGAATCATGCTGAATCTCAATAATACAAGGCAAACTGATGCACGGGAGGAGATTCTGATTCTAATTCATAATTATGTTATCTGAAATAAAACTCTAATATATAGAAATAAAAAATCCAACACTTGCTTGCCAAAATCTTACTTGTTATCTTATACCATATGTCACATTGTCCAAACTAATGGCTTACTTTGTCTGATTATTATTATTATTATTATTTATTGCCTAATCCTTTACTATGTCACATTGTTTAATGGGTACTGTCTCTGGTTATTATTATTATTTTTTTCTTTTGTAATCTTTTTATATTACCAGTGTCCACAGATCAAAACAGCCGACACTGGACAGTGTTCAAGAGTCCATCAAAGGTGATGGATCTCCTTGTGGACCACATTTTTTGTCCCTATAGGTAAGCAGATTTTTACTCTTATCTTCTTGAGCATGAAAAGGATGTTTCAGAGAGTGCAAAATCATTTTTTTGCAAACCCACCTCAAAAAAACAAAAGAATTTTACAACATCCCAATATATTGTGATAACGAGTATTCCATATTCCAAGTAAATCAGGACCCTTTCCGATGTATTAGATCATACATTCCAATTTAAACTGAGAATGCAAGGCACATGTAGCATATTAGTAGGATACAACGCCTTAATACCATTGAATTAAATCCAAAATGTTATACTTTTATATTGGTATTACTTATTTAATGGGGCATACATTCTTAAGTTCCATAATTTTTCTAAACGGGTGTCGTTCTCACACTCTACGCATCTCCTGCTCCCATCCTCACTGTGTGTGACTTAAATTTTATTCTTTTTACGTTCTCAATTTTGTACTCGCTCATGCTCCCGCACTTAATTTATATGACTTAGGTTACACTATGATTTTAAACCAAACTTAAATAACGAGAATTTGACCTCCCTTTTTTAGAGTGGTGATATTGGCATTTCAAAATAATACTATAGCGCTCCACTATTATTTTCAATGTAAAATATCAAAAAAAGCCCTAATTCCCTCATTAAATCTTCAATTCTTAGATCTTGTAACTTTTTAAATTTCCGTGTCGATTTTTTTTTTTTTTTTCTTCTCGCTCCCTGTCGATTTCTTCCTTTACAGAAATATGAATGCAAACTCATCCCCAATAGTATTCATAACATTCGTGAATGCTTTTTCAATTGTCCAGTAATATAGATATGAAGAAAAATACGAAGCCAACACTGAACAACACAAAAGTCTAGGCTTCCCCCCCCCCCCCCCCCCACAAAAAAAATATATAATAATAATAATTATAAATCTCAAAGTCAACTTCATATTATGTTGAGGTTATTAAGAATTTAATCTTAACATGACTTTAATAATTAGTGTTGGACACAACTTTGTTTATGTTAACATATCTCCTTAAAAAGTTCTATTCCTTAAAAGAGATTTCTAATGTGAGACAGAGAAAGTATTTATTTGTTTTGGTGGTCTATTTTGAATAAAGTAATCAAGGAATTTCTTTTATGTGATTGTGGTGTTGTTACTGGTGGTAGTATAAGGCCACAAAAGAAGGAAATTTTAGGTTTTGGTGGAAGAAAGAATAGGAAATAACAATAATAGATAGAATGAGAGTGTCTAAGAAAATTTGACTAGCATTTATTTTGTCATTTTAATTTAATGAAAGAATGAGTGGAGTGACATAATATGAGAGTCAATATCTATGTCTCTTTAATTGTCAGCAAAGTAAATGAATTTCTGGATTTTTCTTTTAAGAATGGGTTAAAGAGACATTTCATGAGGTTTGAGTAAGAACATGCAGATGAAAGTTTGTCTATTTTTGGACAATCACACCCCCTTGAAAAATTTGTCATCCAAACAGAGCTTTAAAACATGTAAAAAGTCCATTTTACCCTTCACTATTTTATTAATTTTAATTATAAAATATTTAAATAACCAAATTACCCTTAACACCAAAATCCACAACCAACAACACACATACCCGCCGCCCCCACAACCACCACCATCCCCACCCCCAAACCACTACTCTCTCTCTGTTCTCTCTCTTCCTCCTCTTGCCGAGATGAAGCTTGTTTACTTGGACAGAGTACACCAGAGATGAAGCTCGTAGACTATAGCAAATTGAACTGAATTGTAGCACATAAGTCTGAAATGGGAAGCTCGCCGAAACCGTGGAGGTGAAGCTCTCACTGCCGTTTGCAGACTGTAGTGCCGAACGTTTGTCACCGGAACGTAGCACACAAGAACTGTTTGCAGTCTGAAACGGGAAGCTCGCCAGATGTATATGGTGTGAATGAAGCTTGGCCGGAATCAATGGAGCTTAGCTGCTTGATGTTCGTCGGAATCAATGGAGTTTCGGCCTTATGTTTGCACCGATGGAGACACTTAAGATCACTGTATCTTTTTCATGCTCACTGACCTGCACTCAAGTTAGCTATCTTGACCGATTGATGAAGCCTTTAGGTTGTTCGATGTTCGATGCCATTTGGGTTTGACGTTGAAACTTCTGGGTCTTGAATGGAGATGAAGTTCTGCTCTCTGTTTTGGGTCGCTGAAGCTTGCAAGGTAGAACGGTGAAGCTCGTCGGAGGCTGAAGAAGTAACGCATGGGCACGTTTAGCACGAGTTAGATCTACTTGCAGCGAAGCGTGTCGGGCGCGTGGGTGGTGATGATGAACTCCGTCATCGCCGCCTTGTGTGTGTGTGTGTATATATAGTATGTGTGTGCTGGTGTTAGGGCGGAGGAAGACAGAACATAGAGGATAAAAGGGAATAAGTTATGGGTATGAGGTTAAAAAGGTCATTTGAATATTTAAATTGTTCAATATAAAAGTCAAAAGGTAAAAATGTTAATTTATTGCTATTGGGGTGTCTTTGGTAGCTATATCAAACTTAAAGAGATGTCATTAATCTAAAATAGATAAACTTTCTTCTTAATGTTCTTTTGAAACTTAAAGAGAAGTGTTGCATTCTAAAAACCAACCTAAAAGCATGTGTGTTGCGTTTGGGGTACGTGACACCTTAACATGATGATGACCCCTTTAAATATAGATGGGCTACAAAGGATTGAGACTTGTACTATTGGGTAATTAAACAATGGGACTCCCCTGGTTCACAACTTGATGAGCTTTCACAATCCATCAAACTTCATCCAATGTAACGGTGGGCATTAAAGGCGAACATACGCCTCTCAAGATAACGTCAAACACCCCAATCAAAATCACACTAATCTAGTTTAAAACAAAGCTTTGTTTAACCTCGTATGACCAAACCCTCCCTAAAAAGCCACGCAGCTAAGATTCTCGTGCACAACTCACTTAACTGTCAGGGGCAATATTGTAACTATAGTTGGTTGGGCCCCACGCTAGAAAGTTAGCCGTTATAGGAGGAGCCGATGGTGCAATAAAAAGGCCCCGTTTCCAAGTCTACATGTTACCACGAACTTTATGATGTGGAGTAAATCAGAAAACTAGCCGTTAGGCTTTTTGGTAAGATGGAGGAGAGCGCCTCTGAACACATTAGGCACCTGACAATTTTTTTTGTCTCCCAAAAACGAGATTCTTTTGTTTTAGCTACATCTCTCTCTCTCTCTCTCTCTCTCTCTCTCACACACACACACACACACACACACACACACACACATCTTCACGTGCCACCATTACAGTAACCTCTAGCTCTCACTACAAAATCTTGACACAGCTGTTCCTTCTACTGTTTCACTCCATAGCTATATCACACACAACAGAAGAAAACCTTATCCTATCTCTTAACCCTTTCTTCTTATTCTTTTTCAATCACTCGTGTATTTCCATTTCCACAATTTCTGAGTTCTTATGGAGGGTCAAAATCAAATTTCCCACTGTTTTTACAGACACCCATTTCACATTCTTCATTTTTTGATCCGCATTTCTGATAAGAAGAAGGAAAAATGGAAGATTCGATCCTACCCTTTTCATCTCTTTAGGTTCTCGAACATTTTCTTGTTTCTTCAGCTACTGAGTTTTGCTGTTCAACCTGTTTCGAGCCAAGATTGGGATGGTGTAATTGTAACTCAAGCAGACTACCAATCACTCCAAGCCTTCAAACACGAACTGATTGACACCAGAGGGTTCTTGCGGAGCTGGAATGACAGCGGCTACGGAGCATGTTCCGGTGGTTGGGTTGGGATCAAATGTGCTCAGGGACAAGTCATTGTGATCCAGCTTCCATGGAAAGGACTTGGTGGGCAAATCACTGAAAAAATAGGGCAGCTTCAAGCGCTTCGAAAGCTCAGCCTCCATGATAATCTCATCACAGGTTCAGTCCCTTCGAGTTTGGGGTTCTTACCCAATCTCAGAGGGGTTCAATTGTTCAACAATCGGCTCTCAGGTTCAATCCCTCCATCATTAGGTTCTTCTCCTCTGCTTCAGACTCTAGACCTTGGTAACAATTCACTCACCGGGACAATCCCGGCTGGTCTTGCAAACTCTACTAAGCTTTTTAGGCTCAATGTCAGCTTCAATTCGTTATATGGTTCAATCCCAAGTAGTCTCACCAGCTCACCTTCCCTTGTTTTTCTTGCTTTTCACTATAACAACCTCTCTGGTCCCATTCCAGACTCTTGGGGTGGAAGTGGGAATAGCTTATTCAAACTTCAGTCCTTAACCCTTGATCATAACTTCTTTTCTGGAACCATTCCTGCTTCTTTTGGCAAGTTAAGTGAGCTCAATGAGCTTTCACTTAGTCACAACCAATTGAGTGGGACAATACCAAGTGAAATAGGGAAGCTCTCCAGGCTTGCAACTTTAGACCTTTCTAACAATGCTATCAATGGAAGCTTACCCATTACTCTCTCCAACCTATCTTCACTTGTAGTTTTGAACTTGGAGAGCAACAATCTTGACAACCAAATCCCAGAAACTCTGGACAAACTACACAACCTTTCAGTTCTCAACTTGAGAGAGAACCATTTTAGTGGTCACATTCCAGACACCATTGGCAACATATCCACACTCACACAACTCGATTTAGCACGAAACAATCTCAGTGGAGGAATCCCTGCCTCCATTGGTGATCTACCCAATCTTAATTCCTTCAATGTTTCGTATAACAACCTTTCTGGTCCTGTTCCTACGCCGCTCTCTCGAAAATTCAATTCAAGTTCCTTTGTGGGAAACATTCAGCTATGCGGATACAGTGGTTCAGCCCCATGTCCTTCTATAACACCTTCTCAAGGCAATCGAGCTCCATCTTCGGAGAAAAAACACGGTCGCAAACTGAGTACTAAAGATGTTATTCTCATAGCAGCCGGTGCTCTGCTCGTAGTTTTGCTATTAGTCTGCTGCATTTTGCTCTGCTGCTTGTTCAGGAAAAGGGCTGCATCAAAAGCAAAGGATGATGAGGCTGCAGGAAGGGCGGGGGCAGGGGCAGTGGCTGCCAGGGGCCAAAAGGGTGTCCCACCGGTGGGAGGTGAAGCTGAGGCTGGTGGTGGAGAGACCGGAGGAAAGCTTGTGCATTTTGATGGGCCTATGGTTTTTACAGCAGACGATTTGTTGTGTGCAACTGCAGAGATAATGGGGAAGAGCACTTATGGAACTGTCTATAAGGCCACATTGGAAGATGGTAGTCAAGTTGCAGTGAAGAGATTGAGAGAGAAGGTCACAAAAAGTCAGAGGGAATTTGAAGCCGAGGTCAATGTGCTTGGGAGAATCAGACATCCCAATCTTTTGGCTTTGAGGGCTTATTACTTGGGACCCAAAGGGGAAAAGCTTCTTGTTTTCGATTACATGCCTAAAGGGAGTCTAGCAAATTTCCTCCATGGTGAGCAAATTTATACTATCTTCTTCCACATTGAAGATTGATTTGAGATTATGAGATTAGCTATAACATTTTGATTCATTTTCTTGCAGCTCGCGAACCTGACACGACCATTGATTGGCCAACAAGGATGAGAATCGCGCAGGGCATGACACGAGGCTTGTTCCACCTTCACACCAATGAGACTATAATCCATGGGAATCTTACTTCGAGCAATATTCTACTTGATGAGCACACAAATGCAAAAATTGCAGATTTTGGGCTGTCACGGCTAATGACAGCAGCTGCAAATTCTAATGTGATCGCCACTGCAGGGGCGTTAGGTTACCGAGCACCTGAACTGTCCAAGCTCAAGAAAGCCAACACAAAGACTGATGTGTACAGCCTTGGGGTGATAATACTTGAGCTCTTGACAGGGAAGTCTCCTGGTGAGGCAATGAATGGTGCGGACTTGCCTCAGTGGGTGGCCTCCATTGTGAAAGAGGAGTGGACTAATGAGGTTTTTGATTTGGAGTTGATGAGGGATGCATCTACAATTGGTGACGAGTTGTTAAACACATTGAAACTAGCTTTGCATTGTGTTGATCCCTCGCCATCAACGCGACCAGAAGTTCAGCAGGTTCTCCAGCAACTGGAAGAGATTAGACCGGAAATAGCTACCAGTTCTGGTGATGATGGTGCTGGAATCCCTTCAACAAGTGATTGAAAGGAATGCCAGGAGTTTGAGTCCTAATGCATTAGGAGGGACAACTGAGTCCTAATTCTTTTATTCTTGAATTTTGATTGTTGAGTAGTGGTTTTTTTTTTTGGTGTTTGTAAATACAAGTTTCTTTCCACTATTTATTTAGAAGATGTTCTTGTTGGAAGCTCCCTTAATTTGCTTGGGTAATTTTTTTTTTCTTCATTGGATGGAACCAAAAATAAGGTTTGTTTGTCCTTCTGTGTAATGCAAAGATAAATAAGTGGATAATGGTGCAATCTTAACTATAGGAAACATATCTCCCTTTGAACAAATTACTTTTAAGGTTTAGATAGTTCCTGCATAATTTATTCCATAAAAAGATCATATATCGTATTTAAACCCTAAAACGTTCTTAGCAATAAGAAAAAGCTAGCAACTTTTTGTGATATGCAAAAGGTTAGAAGTTTATGATATTAGTCTTCTTTTAACACTTTATGATACTAGTAAATAGAATTCGAATTTCATCTCCTCATTCTTCTTCTTCTTCATCTTCATCTTCATCTTCTTCTTTTTCTTCTTCTTCATGCGCGCGCGCGCGTGTGACTAATAATTCAAGTTTCCTTTAGGGACCATTGATCCCCATTTGTTCCAAAAGGCATGAGAAATGAGTTTATTCATTGACACTTGAGCTCAAAATAAAAAGTTAGAATATCTATAGAAGGAACAACTGAGGACCTTTTTATGGCTTACAGTATTAAAAGGCCAAACCAGTGAACAAACAACCTTAAAACAGGAACAAAAACAAATTAGTAAAATGAAATATTTTCTCCTAGTTTAGTGTTTACATATCATGAACATGTTGTTCAACTTGTATTGGAGTTTCATCTTTTACACAACCAATTAATCCCAAGCAAAAACAGTGTTTTGGCAAGATAGCCCAGCCTGTCAAGAAATCTTCAAAAATTAATTCTCTTATGAACATCAATATTAAAAACCAGAGAGTATATGATAAAAAGCGCGACAATCAATTTGTGAGGCCCGCACATGTCTCTTGAATGAATATAATTTTTCTACAATGAAATATGATTTGTGTAGCTAACCTCAAATAAATGAAAAAAAAAATAGTATTTTGTCATCCAAAAACATAGTTCGCCGTATCGATGGATACGCGATCCTTTTTCAAATCCAATACGCAACTCGTATCGGTCAGTTTACACTTTGTCCGAGTCCATTACACTGCAACCGCAACTAATACCGCAATTGTGACCTATACTGCGAACTATGTCCGAAAAGGAATCATTATATATAAATATTAGAAATATAAAATACAAAAGAAGAAGAAGAAGAAAAAATTTATTCAAATATACACGTAAAAAAGATGAATTTTAAGAAGTAGAAATTGAAAAAGGAAAAAAAAAAATGAAAGAACTTTAAAAGAAAAAAGTTAAAAGTTTCAAGGAGGGAAAATTTAACTTTTTCTTTTAAGGAAATTTAAGGAATTTGAAGAGTAAGAGAGAAAATAAAGGGATAATTTTAGAAACCAGGGGGTACTGTATAAATTTTTTCATATATATAAAAAAAATATAAAAAATTACTACATATATTATAAAGGGCGGGGCAGGCCGGGAGAGGCACGTGCCTTCTTGGCCCTTCATTGGCTCCGTCCCTGATTCCAACTAGCACGTGCCTTTTTGTCTCCGTCCCTGATTCCGACTAGCACATGAACATGCACATCCACTTGTTCTTCTGCAACGTACTATCTTCCACACGCTAACAACATCTTTGTCACTCTTTACCTACTCCCTGAACGGGCAACTGCGTTGGTCCCAAGTAACAAGGGGGCCTGGGTGGTATAAAGTGGTTTAGACTTGGTGGGACAAGAAATGGCTGAGAGGTAGCATCAGTTTAATAGGGCAAGCCCTCTTTGAGAAATTCAAAAATTATTACAAAGTCCGAACTATTCGGACCTAGTCAATTCCAAATTAACAAGTAAGCTTAAATTTTGCATCAGTTTTATTTTACTTTTTGTTTACGTGCCATTGAAATGACCATACAATAATTTATCATCCAACAATAGGTGTGCTGCTTGCATGGGAATGAAAAGTTTTAGTATCAAAAAATTGTCTTGGCATATCACAACCAAGTTTTATTATTATTTTTCTTTTTGAAAATTTATAACAACCAAAATATTGATTTTTTTTTTTGGCACCAAAATATTGATTGATCTAACCTGATTGAACGCTAATCATGTCAAGTCAACTCTGTATCAAGAATGACAGTCTATCTGAATTAATTTCAAGCGTAAAGTGAAAAAACAAAAAAAACAACAAAAACAAACTTCTATAAGAAAATGTGTAAAAACTCCTGCTATTGCTATTAATGTACATATAAATCCATAACATATAAAATTATGGGCACATTATCTCTTTAATATATGTTTAAAGTCAATTTTGACCAAATTATTTTTTATAAAACTCTAAAATACCCATAATATATCCTTAAAATTAAAATCAATATTTTTGTTTTATTTTATCTTAAGGACATTTTAGGTATTTTATTAAAATTGACAAAACACCTTAAAAAAAATATAGAGTTTTATTCTTATTCACTTGATATAAGATTTTTTTTAAACATCAGTCCGACAATCTTTATCGCTTGGAGTAGTCTAAATATGTATAAAACATAAGATGTACTATTGTAATGGATGTAAATGAAATTTGGTGTTCTTGCAAAACATGATCTTAGAAAAACAATAAAAATGATATTTTGCCCTTAAAATTCGATTCACGTAAACCCAAAGCATACAATGAAACAACCTTCATGACGACCACCAAATTAAAATATTCTTTTTTTCTAAATAATAAATAATCTAGCTGTTGAAAACGATCTCACCATAACAACTCCACAATTATAGCAATGACTCTTTCACATAGTGCTTCATTTAGACAAACATCATCCATTGGTTTCTTACGTTTGAAGTGTCTTTTATTTTGGATTGATGGAAGAAACATTCCAAGAAGATTTCGATTACCTTTGAAAACTCCAAAAAAACAAAAAAAAACACAGTGAAAGACAAAGAGGTGAAAGACCACCATACACTTTTGACCATTAGCCATCACCTCTTCAATCAACTTATTTTACGCCATTTTTAACGACCATTTGCTAAAGTTTCTTTCAAGTTTCTCAAGAAAGTCGCTAACAAACTCACCAACTTTGATTTATGTTCTTTCTTTCTTGTTTTAAATCTAATCCTACTAACCCCATCTCTCTCTCTTTTTCTCTACACACACACACGCACATATTATATATATGTACACACACAAACACACACATACGTGCATACTTCAATCCAAAAAAAGGTAAGAGAATGACGGTATGTTAAGAAATTTTGGTCTAGTCCACGTTGAATGATGTAAATTGAGTATTTCGGTCACCAACAAAATAAATGAGTCCTCTCTATATCACTAGAGCCATCATGGTCGATCCACTAATTTAACCACTCTTTTTTTTCTTTCTTTTATATATAATATATGTATATATGTGTGTGTATATATATATATCCCTTGAGGTCATGACATTATAAACAGCGTGATAAAAGCATACGGTTCATGCAGGCGACCTTTAATAATTATAAAAAGATTATGGAAATTGTCTCTATTCTTCGAATTAGACCTAGTTTTAGAGGTTTTTTTCTCACATTAGATTCAAATAGGGTAAAGTCTCGAGTTAAAAAAGACGAATAAACCGTATTATCCATTACATTTTTGTATCGGATGACAAGCGCTCCGCCCATTACATACATCAAGCCATCTGTGCCAAAAAAAGAAAAAAAAAAACCCAATGAATCAAGAATTTGTTCTATAGTATAATAGTACATGATGCATCCTAGAGTGATTTGTTAAATTGGTGATTGTAGTCTAAGCAACTTGCAGAGGAAGTGACCCAGAGAAGGTAGCATTCACATCCCTTGATGAAATCACCTGCAATCTCTTGCTGCATTCATTAATTTTTTGCTGCATTCATTAATTTTTATGTTTAGTAACGTACCGAATCGTTGTCTTGAATTTGAAATTTGAAAAAATTTAGTAAATTTTTTTTTTTTTTTTTAATTTCTCCCAACTCTAATGTTTCGTTTGATTGGAGGGATGAAAAAATAGATGGAATGGATAGGGGAAGGGATGGATGAGACATCCCTAGGGAAGGAAAGGTGCCTCTCTCACTTTTTGTTTGGTTGAATAGAAAGGATAATAGAAATGATGGATGGGGTGACACATTTTTTTTGTTTAGTTGGAAGGAAGGGAAATAGGACTTTTATATTCTTTTTACTAATGTGCCCTCAGTATTTAAAAATCTAAAAATTCTATATCTATTCCAAATTTTTAGGAAGGTTAGAAATGAAAAATTGATATTTGTGTTAGTTATTATTTTTTTCTCTCCTTTTCCTCCCAATTTTGGGCAGATAGAGGAATACAAATGAAGGAGGAATGAAGCATCCCTCCTTGCTTCTTCCTACTTTTTCCCTCTCTCCAACCAAATACGAAAAAATTAGTTCATCACCCCTCTCATCCATCCCTCCTCAATCCTTCCCTTCAACTAAACATAGCATAAATCTAAGCCACCCCATTCAATGCTCCAAAACATAACATAACATAAGAGTAGTTTCATCATTCAATTGTGTGTAACTTTGGCGTACGCAAGTTGCCCACCTAATGAAACACACACACACACACACGCACCTAATGCAAGACTTTCGCTCTCAGATTTTTGTCCGCATTTAGCCAAAAAAATAATAGACCCTTCTTTGGGTTGAAAAAACATAAACGTGTCCACCAGGTAACAAGAAGGCCACTATCTTTAGGGGTCAAACTGAAATATGTTACGATCTTGACTTGAAGAATTTAGCTTCTTCAACATGTATTCAAATAACCTTCCGAAAGAAATATATATATATGTACTGAAATAATTGAGTTTTACCACTTCGTGGAAGTTAGTACTTAGCCCTCATGTCTAAATCTCATAGCTTTGGACATTTCCCACCAAATAAGTTATAAAACAACCTGAATAGTCAGAATCATATTTTTTCGTTTTCACTTCAATAGTCAAACATTTTTCCTGTCTAAAACAAAAGTAAATTTTTTCTACCACATTAATGAAACAAAAAGCTAGTCACAACAATCCGTTCAAGTAAATATTATCAAAATAAGTATAAAACAAGTAAGTTCTACCAAGATTATTTAATGAACTCTCCGACCTCCTAATTTGGAAGGTGCAAAAGTCACATCAGTTGCTTCCCTTAGATAAAAATCAATAAAATAAAAAATAAAAAATAAAAAGAAATGAATTTGACTGTTTTATTTGTTGTGGGATTTGACAAGTGAAAAATTTCACTTTTGGATGTGAACAAGAAGAGAGATTAACAAAAATTAGTCATCGTTTGGTAGTAATGAAACCCTATTTTATTGCAAAGTAAAACCTAAATAATGATGGGTGCTTTGAAATTCAACCCAATAGTAGACTTATGAAGCAAGCCTGAAGAAACTAATCAATTTTAATATGCTTAGTGGGTGCACCAACCCTTAACGGTTTAACTAAGTTTTGCCCCTAAGATCTATTTCGCCAACCTCGGGTCCTAAAAACAACACACTGTGTCTCCTCTTCTTGCCTATAAAAGAGCCCCATCACTCTCTCACTGTCTTTACCACTTACAATCATCTCAACAAAATCCAAATTCTCCCAAGTACAAATGGAAACCTTCAAAAGCATTGCCAAACCCTTCTCATTCCTCTTCGGCATCTTCCTTCTCTTTGCCAATGCTATGTTCTTAGCAAATGCTATAACTCACATCCACGATTTTGTTGTACGGACTCTGTTTCCCCCCCTCTATTTGTTTCTATTTCTTCACCTTAGTTCTTAGGTATACTAATTGTTTATAATGGCACATATAGGTTCAAGCAACGCCGGTGAAGAGGCTGTGCAACACCCACAACACCATTACGGTGAATGGGCAGTACCCGGGGCCAACCTTGGAAGTGAATGACGGTGACAGTCTAGAGATCAAAGTCGTCAACAAAGCTCAATATAATGTTACCATCCACTGGTAATTGCATGCATGTGGGATTTTTATGTATATATATAACACAGACCAACAATATATATATTGATGTGCACAAACAGATAATTAACTTTATAGTTGCAATCTTGTGCGTGGCGCATGCATGTATTCATTCATGCACAAAAATATATATATACATATAGTGACTTTAACCTTGACCACTATTTTTCTTCAGGCATGGCATTCGTCAGATGAGAACAGGCTGGGCAGACGGACCAGAATTCGTAACTCAGTGCCCAATTAGACCGGGAGAGAGTTACACCTACCGTTTTACAATTCAAGGACAGGAAGGGACACTGTGGTGGCATGCTCATAGCTCATGGCTCAGAGCCACAGTTTATGGAGCTCTGATCATTCATCCAAAAGAAGGATCCTCCTACCCGTTTGCTAAACCAAGCCGTGAAACACTCATCCTTCTCGGTATTGACCCTCTTCTCTCACCAGATATGACTCCTCGCTGAAATGAAATGGGACAATAAAATTTGAGTTCACCATATTGTGGAAGCCAGATAAAATCACGTCATCCTAATAACAAAGAAAATGTTTCCACTCACTCTGTTTTCATGTAAACGTCACAGTTGATGAAATATTGGTCTGACGTTGATGTGATGACAAACAGGTGAATGGTGGGATGCAAACCCCATTGATGTTGTGAGGCAGGCCACAATAACAGGAGCAACGCCTAATGTGTCTGATGCATATACAATCAATGGTCAACCCGGTGACCTCTACAAATGCTCCAGCAAAGGTTTGCTTCTAAAAACTCATCAGTTTCTGTGCCACCTTTACCAACACTTAAATAAAACAGTTTCACCTGCAAATTACTTGAGAAAAATATAAAAATCAGCCCAGTGAACTTGGTCGCTTTGGCGCTTCCACATGCTTCTATGAAAATATTTTAACCTTGTAAACTATGCATAGTTCCATTATCGATAACTTTTATCAAATTAACAATAAATGAGGGCAGTTGTAAACCAAATTACCATCTAAAGAATGAGGAAGTATATGATTAACTATAAACTGATAACTAGGATAATCTGAATCAAATTACTGGATAGGACAAAAATGTCAATTAATGGATAAAGGAACAGAAAACATTGTAAATGAGAGAGAGAGAGTATCATGTTGATGTTAGGAGGAATGGACCAGCGGACCTAGAAAAGGATAGGGTACTCACCAAACACAGTTATGGCGGTCCCAACATTGACTAGACTCGGATTCAGTATCCCACATGCTTACTGATTTGCTGACATCATTACCATGCAGAAACCGTGACAGTTCCAGTGAACTCCGGCGAAACAAACCTCCTTCGGGTCATCAACTCTGCACTCAATCAACAGCTTTTCTTCACTGTCGCCAACCACAAGCTCACAGTTGTTGGAGCAGATGCTGCCTACCTTAAACCCTTCACTACTTCAGTCATCATGTTGGGGCCCGGTCAAACCACTGATGTCCTGATTACAGCCGATCAGCCACCAGCTCGGTACTACATTGCAGCACGGGCCTATGCTAGCGCCCAAGGTGCGCCATTTGACAATACAACCACCACAGCTATCCTTGAATACAAGACTGCCTCTTGCACTACCAAGTGTTCTACAACCACACCTGTTTCTGCATCTTTACCTGCATATAATGACACAGCCACTGCCACAGCCTTCACCACTACCCTTAGAAGTCCAAAGAAAGTCCCAGTCCCCACTGACATCGATGAAAACCTCCTTTTCACAGTTGGTCTAGGACTCAACAAGTGCCCCTCAGGTGCTAGTGCCCAGAACTGTCAGGGCCCAAATGGAACCCGCTTCACTGCCAGCATGAACAATGTATCTTTTGTGCTCCCTTCCAGTTTCTCCTTGCTTCAAGCGCATCAGCAAGGTATTCGAGGAGTTTTCTCCGCTGATTTTCCAGCAGCTCCGCCAGTAAAATTTGATTACACTGGTAATGTTAGCCGGTCACTTTGGCAACCTGCTACGGGGACAAAGGTGTACAGATTAAAGTACGGCTCGAGAGTGCAATTGGTGTTACAGGGAACAAGTATATTTACAGCTGAGAATCACCCAATTCATCTTCATGGATATGATTTCTACATCGTTGCAGAGGGCTTTGGAAACTTCAATCCCCAGAAAGATACAGCTAAATTTAACCTTGTTGATCCGCCTATGAGGAATACAGCTAGTGTACCTGTCAAAGGATGGGCAGCCATTAGATTCGTTGCTGATAATCCAGGTAAGGATAACTAAAAAGTCTATAAACTTTTTCCATTTTCTAATATAGATGCCAATTGTTTCTATATATATTCATTCCACAAATTAATCTTTGAATTCATTTGTTTGGAGAAAAACAGGAATTTGGTTTCTGCACTGTCATTTGGATGTTCACATAACCTGGGGCTTGGCCATGGCTTTCCTCGTAGAGGATGGAGTTGGGGAATTACAGGCATTACAGCCTCCTCCAGAGGATCTGCCTCTGTGCTAATATCAACAGAAGCACAGCCCAAACTCAAAATTCTCAATAGGCCCTATAACAGGGGGTCATTATTTTCTTGGTCTTACCATATGAATTGAGTGTTGTTTTCACCCACAATGGGTTTTAGTTTCTTGCATTTTCCATTGTTCTTTTTTGATCGATAAAACAGGTCAAGATGAGATGGTATCATGATTGCAACTCTAAGATATTTGGAACCACATCTTACCCTTTCTTGGTTATACTTGTACTGTTTCTATAGCAAATTATAGAATACTTGTATTGTTTCTAAAGCAAATTATAGAGCATACTTTATAGTTTTTGAATAATTAAAATGGAACAAGAAGAGATGGTGCTACAATTTCAACACAGGTACCATCCGATTTAGAATCGTACCAGAATTTTTACTTGGTTTTCACTTGCATTATTTCTTGAGTAAATTATAGAGTACTTAAGAATGATAGCAGTATTTTTCACAAGTTTTCCATTAGTGTATTGTACTAAATAAACAGAGACAACTAGAAATCGGGAAAATAAGGTTAAGCCTAAACAGGAAATAATAACATTCACAACACAGTGTAAGAGTAAGACATTAAAGGAACTCTTTGATGGATCAGAAGCCAACTCAAATTCTTACATATAGTATTTGAAAAGCCACCATGACGTGCTGTCAGCTGTGTAGTTTGAGTGATTAAAAGAATAAAAAAAAGGTAAATACAAATTATGGCGTTCACTAATCCCACCCCTAATGGCTTTGAACAGCATTAAACTGTAGAAGTAACATTTTCTTCACCAAGTGAGAATCAGAGTATCCACATATTACGTGAGACATGGAGCATTGAATAAGTGAAACATCAGCCAAAGAATCTCTTGCTAATTTACGGAGTGCTACAACAGAATTTGAATTATATCAGTACTATTCATGCAATCCACATGCTTGGCCAAAATAAAATTTTGCTGCATGTTAATATACAGAGTCCAGTGCATAGTACACATATATTTGAATTAACTAAAAGACGGTTTCCGAACTCCAATAAGCACACTATAGCACAATATGACATAGTGACAACAGGATTTGAGAAAAAATCAACCCTTGAGCTATTTAGATTTGAGGAGTAAGGCAGAGTAATTAGCGGATTATTTGTAGTAGATACATGAAATGGATTTGAAAGTGAGTGGAAAAAAGTCCATTTCGAGAACAAAACAAACATAAGCTATAGCATTGAAATAGTTTGGTAATTTTTTTTTGATAGTTCGGTATTATTTGAATGATGCAAATAATTCATGAATTATTCAAAATAATTTAGATGTTTTGTAGAATGTTGAGGTTTAGGAAGTTAAACTACTAAAGTTCCAAAATATATGACGAAAATCTTTGGTATAGTTTGAGACCACATTCTAAAATTTGGATCTCTCACTATACCTCTCATGTTAGGTCATGCATACCTCTCATGTATATTCACTGCTAAAGTAGCTGTAAGGAAAAGCAGAGACATCTGGGATGAGAACGCAAAATTTACCTATTTTAATTTAAGGGATTGCGACATCTTTCATGAATAATTAATTTGGTATACTGAAATGCTAGAGTTTATAATGACAATAATAAGAAAAAAGGAGTGATTGCAATGACTAGCAAACATGAGAAAACATCAAACATTGAGCTTGTTAACAAGAAATATATTGGCAATTGACATGAATTATAACAACTAAATGGGAGATAACCCAAAAATCGAAATAATGCACATATTTTGAATTATGTGGATTATTAAACTTAAAACATCAACATCAAATTAAAAAATTTGCTAGTAAAAACCTGAATTGATCAAATTATAAGACAGTTCAAGCTTCTAAAGGACACATTGATTCTAGACTTTGTCAGTGTCAAACCTTGCCATTACTGAGGCATATTGCAGCAAACGATAATCAGTGCACAACAAACCTAGCCTCCTAAAGAACATGTAAATGAAACTCATTGGGGTATTAGTATCAGAATGATTGTATTGAGCCCTAAGTTCTCTTACACGCATAATAAAGATGCAAAAACTAAAAACATATGTGTGTGTATATATATATATATATGATTCACGGCAAATAACAAAGATTATGGAGAAACAAATAAAGTACCTTTGAAGGAATAGCATCATAGCAGAGTGCTGGGGGAGAGGCAGAGGATGAATTCCGAACAAGTCTTAAATAGAGATGCATAACGAGAATGTTGTTTGGCTCTCGCCTCTAGGGTTTCAATTGATGATTATCGCAATGCCTCGTAAATTAAGGTATTGTTTCTCAAAAAATTGCATAATCAGAACGAGTGCATTTAGAATTCATCATCGCTCACATGATATGGATCCTTTAAATAATTTGCCATTTTAGGTTAGTGCGGTTCAGACTGTTCAGGACATTTATCACAAATAAAAAATAAATAAAATATAGGGTTAAGTTAAAAAAAAAAAAAAAACCTACCTATAAAACATTCCTCTACTTTTAATTTGGTTCAAATGCCCCCATGTCTGCATAAAGAAAGACAATACCCTCTTGTCAGTAAAATAAAATAATATTTAAAAAAACATGTCATTCAACGGTTAAGTGGCCCAATAAAAAAAACACATGTACAAAAATTTATGTAATATTGATAATAATAATATATATAAAAATAAAAAAATAAAAAAGAAGAAGAAGAAGAAGAAGACAGAATAGAAAGAGAAAGGAGCACATTAGGATTTTTCAATTTACTTTATGTTAATTTAGACCAAAAAGTGATTAGAGTAAGAGTGCAAGTTTGAAATATAAATTGAGCCCAACCCATCATATGAATACTAAATTCAAGTCCAAGTCCAATCCTAACCCTATCTCAACCTTAACTACTCAACTTAAGCCTAACCCATCCTTCTACTTTTAAATTTGGGCTTGCAACTAGGGTTTAGATTCTGGGTAAAAACTTCAGGTTAATTTGGGTTACTCATATGGCTAATCCTTACACCGAAAATTTAATATGATCTTAATTTAGGTTTAGATTAAATTACTTTTAAATAAGAAAAGGTTTAAAGATTTTTTTTTTTTTTTTTTGTAGATTTTTAATAAATTACAAATAAATTTTTAGAAAATTAATTCTCTTAAATGTTAACATACAAAAGAAGTTGAAAAAAAAAAAAAGTAATCATAGTTTAAATAATATATATAATGTATTTAAAAGTAAAAATATACATAAAAAAATAGGGTAAAGTACAATCACACCCCCTGAGGTTTGACAAAAGGATACTCAGAGAAAACTTATCTGTTTTTCGGATAAAGACACCCTCTGAAGATTCGAAAATGGACAAAGACACCCTTTACATAAAAAATTGACCAAAAAATAGATAAGTTTCCTCTAAATGTCCTTTTGCCAAACCTCAAGGGGTGTGACTGTACTTTACCCAAAATAATATTATAATTCGGGTTCGGGTTGGCTCGAATTGCTACCACTTCAACCCAAGCCCAACCCTAATTAAATTCGGGTTGAGATTTTTCAACCCAAGTACAACCCTAATTGTAAAAATGATTGTCCAAGCTAGTAAATAATTGAGCTGAGCTCGGGTTAGTTCGGGTTACCCAACTCAAGTTGCACCCCTGATTAGAGGGGGTTATTTGCACATTTTTTTAATTTTATGGACTGAAATGCACATTTTCAAAAATGAGGGAGTATTTGTGCACAAAACCTATATTACTGAGTTTTTTTTGCACTTAACCCTAAAATAAAATTATAAAGTTAAAAATAAAAAAGTGTAATTTTTACTTCCCTCTCTTAAATTTGGTCAATAATTTACATACACTCTTCTAAGTTTTATAATTGGGGAAAGTGCAAAAAATACCCCTCAAGTATACTTTTTGTAGCATTCTTACCCCCTATTTGAAAAAGTGTGCAATAAACACCCCCAATCTTTTGAAATTGTGCAAAATTACCCCTCGTGTAATAAACACCCTTAAATTATTGATGTAATACCCATTTTGCCCTTTTAATCTTCCCAAAATACCCCTCATCTCTCTACTCTCTGCCCAAAGTTCCTCCCACCACCGTCGAATCATGAGGGAAGCAGCAGAGTTCTCAGCGTATCTTACGCTGGACTTCTCATCTCCTACCATATGAAACATACAAATCTCCTCTCATGGGTAGGACCCCGACCCACCTCTTTCTTTCTACTCTCTGCCGCGAGTTCACCATCACAGCCCGTTGCTCACCGGCGGTCGATTCAGTCCAGCCCTCCACCGGCCGAGCTCTCCTTGCCGTTCTCCATCTCTTGCTCACTGTCGCCGCCTCCATCACTGCCATCACCTTCCTAGCCGTGCACATCCATCATCGCCATCAATATTAATCATCGCTTCCATCACGCCGCGAGCCGCCGTCTTCATCACGGCTAAGTTCAGTCCAGCTGATTCCACCGCCCCTTGCTCATAACCACCGTGAGATCTCGTTGGCCGCCCACCCATCCCCGGATCCATAGTCGCCAGTGGGTTCTTCTCCATCCACCAAGCTTCTTCTTCATGGCCAGATTCACAGTAGTGAAGATGAGTTTGGAATGGCAGCGGCAACTGTTAGTGTGGTCCAAAGTCCAAACCAGGCGCTTGACACAACGAGCTTCTTCAACAAGAGACCAACAACGACTCTAAGCACTTCAACGACGATGACGCCTCTGATTTCCGCCGCGACACGACAGCGTACACTCTTACTTCCACTACCACCGCCACTATTGTTCAGTCTGCTCCCTATTTTTGCTGTCGAGCACGTCGTAGCAGTGGGCAAAGGATATGCAACGACGAAATCCTATTACAAGCCGGTCTTCACTGCTGTTTCGCTGCTGTTCAGAGCAGCGCATCTTCCAAACTCATTGCCGTTTATGTAAGAAAAAAGGCCTATTGTTTTTCATCGCCGTTCTCATCATGGGTCTAGGCGAATGAATCAGAGTGGTGGTTTGGAATAATAGCGGATTGAATAGCCGAGCATAAAACGATAACAATGAATTGAGTCAAGACGAGAC